CATGAATTCTACAAAACCTTGGGCTAAGTTTGTCGGTTTTCAATGATACTAGTCAAACGGGCCCCACAACGAAGCTGCATTTCTTGTCTCGGTTTAGATATTATGCGTATCTTAAGTTTCAGTCTCTTTCGACCAACTCCGGGTATTTACTAAGAGTAAATGCATTGTAACTCGGCCAAAGGAATCATAAAAATATTTAATAGAACGCTATTACAAAAGTGTCCAATTTAATTCAGAATAGAAGGTTCAAAGAGGTAGGGAGGGGTAGAGAGGGGGATGGGAGGGTGAAGAAAGGGGAAAGGGAGGGGAAAGGGAAGGGAAGGTTAGGGGGAAGGGGGAAGGTATAAGGGAATAGTTAGGAGAAAGTAAGAGTGAAGAGGGAGTTAGGGAGAGGGTAGGGAGGCAAATTAAGAGTGAAGAGGGAGTTAGGGAGAGGGTAGGGAGGCAAATTAAGAGTGAAGAGGGAGTTAGGGAGAGGGTAGGGAGGTGGTATGGAGACAAGGAAGAAGTGCATAGGGGGTGAAGTTAAAAATGTACATTTCTAGGGCAAAAAAAATATATTAGTGAGTAGGTACGGTAAACCCATAATCAAATGCAAATCAAAAAATTAAAAAAGCAAATCAATTTCCGGCCTCCTTTAGTTTTTAACAAATTCTTGAATTTTAAGAAAAAGTTGTTAGATTTTTGCCTTCTGATTTGTTTAACTTCCACAGCCCCTTAACCATTTAGTGGGGTATGTGATACATCCCCCCCCCCCGAAGGTTATACTTTAAAGGTCAGATCCTCAAGAGCCATTTTAGAGTTGACATGAAAATAAACATATATATTATATAAATGCATTCGGAAACATTAAAATCTGCACTTTTTAGCAACTTAGAAACTTTAACTTACATAATCTATTTTAATCTTTATAAAAACGTTCTAAAAACAAACATAAACTTTTAAACTAAAAACTGATGACTGTTTAATACTTGCGAACTAGAGGTCGGCATCGTTATTATCAGTTTTCAAACATGATGTTAAGGCTTTTCAGGAGACTCTACAAAAATTTGAGATTAAAACAAAAAATTGTGATAATAATAAAACTTTGGAATAGAAAGACGACTTTTAGACGCAAGTTATGACTTTAAATATTCCATTGAACCTGAGATCTCACAGCAGTTGTGCAATGTAAACAGACCCATGTTAGTTAAAACGTAATTAATTAGATTACTAGTAAAACTAGCAATGTAACATTATAAAATGCACTAAATAAATGCTTAAATGTCGTCTTCCTATTCTACAGTTTTATGATTCGCACTGTATTCCCTAAAAGGTTGCTTAAATCTTAACTCGGGAAGAACCTGCAACACTTGTTAACCATAGATTGATTTTGCTTCGTTCAGGCTTATTTCTTCAGTGTCAAAGTATAATTTCATGAAAGAAAACGGATTGTAAATAAAATTTGTAATATTAAAGGACTTCATACAATGATAACTGAGAAATTGTGGAATAGAAAGACGACATTATCAAGTGTATTTTATTTTGTTACAAATAATATAGCTAATAGTTTTACTAGTAACTTACAAAATCACTTATTGAGTGAAATTAGTCTGTTTACACTGCACAATATATTCATTAACTATTTAAAACCATAATAACTAAAACTAAAAGTAGTCTTCCCATTTCAGAGTTTCTCACTGTAGATAATTGTGAAGCTAAACATTTTAGAAAACCTAAAAAAGAAATATTATCAATGCCCACCTCTATTCTGACCCCTCTGTGTAGTGAAAGAGTAAATTTTAACTCGCTACATGATTTTTTTCTGGTATTTCCAGGGAAGGAGGGTCGGTTTGGTTAAAGAGGGGAGGGGGGGGGGGCTACTTGGGAGTATTCTTTAAAAAGTCTTTGTTTGAATATATTTGAGTATTAGAATATTACATCATCACATTATAAAAGAAATGTGTTTACAATTAAATTAAATACCGAAGTTACATAAATCCAAGCTGCTTTGAAAAGACTGGATCGTTTTTAAAGCGTGTCAACGCCTTGGCCTTCGAATTTAACTGACTAACACACAATTTATATTTGAATGAATGAAGACAGTGCAATATTTTTCTTTAATCTGATATAATGGCTGAATTATACGGCAGGGTCGAGGGGGAATAATTAAATTAATTGAAGAATTAGATTCTCATTAGTTATCATTTTAGCACATGGAGTGGACGGAGTACATGGAGTACATGGAGTACAGGGAGTACAGGGAGTATAGGGAGTACAGGGAGTACATGGAGTCAATGGAGAACCAGGGAGAACAGGAAGTACAGGAAGAGCAGGGATTAAATGAATTACAGGTAGTACAGGGAGTACAGGGAGTATATGGAGTATAGGGAGTACAGGGAGTACAGGGAGTACAGGGAGTAAATGGAATAAAGGGAGTACAGGGAGTACAGGGAGTACAGGTAGTATAAAGATAAAGGAGTATAAGGTCGAATAAAAGTCCTTCAACATTTATAATTACATGCTTTTTATTGCGAAGCTATCAGAAATCAAAGACGATGATAAAGTCGGGTCTCAATTTTCATGGATTTTGGGACACCCTGTAGCAAGCTAAGGGTTTTAAGTCACCCTTTAGCAAGTATCCCAAATTGGTAATTAAGTAAGATGCGTATTGCACAATCCGTGGTACTCTGTATGCAGCTAGATATAAGCAAGGAGAGATGATTAAAATTCAATGAATATATAAAGTTAAAATTTCCTCCTTTTATTCATTCTACATACCACGTAAAAGTACCTTAATGCACGTACGCATTTTAAAAGTGTCTGAATACGCATATAATGAGACCTGGAAGGGTGCTTGAATGCGCGTATGAGCTGGAAAAAATGCGCGGAATGTTTGGAATGTGTGGCCGTTGAAATCACCAGCTGCGCTTTACCTTTAACTTTAAACCGTTGGACCTATATAGTATTATATATACATCAATATATTTTATCCAGGATATATTCTTCTCATCTGCGCGCAGACATGATTAGACAATCTGGCACTGAGAACACACAGTCAAACTTACATATAGTATAGAATTAAAATTTTAAAAAATTTCAAATAAATATATTTTTTTTATCGGATGTAAACCTTTCTTTTACATCCAGATTTTTATGATTCTAATCTTAAGAAATTGCAAAGGAATACTAAAAGATTTAGTGAAAAAAAAAACTAAATAGTAGCAACATCGTAAATTTATATGAACCATATAAAATAGAAATAATTGAATTCAGACGTCTCTATCATCCTTATTCGGTATATATACTTAGTTAAGGCAATACCTACTTCAAGGTTTATACCCCTGAGATCGTTTTAAAATTCAATATTTTACGCTTTCCAAAAGTAATATATTTGATCATCTTCTAACATTTATGTTTTAGATCTAAAATCATTTTAGAACATTAATATTTTTAAGAAAAAAGTACTTTCAATCTACTAATGAGATGTAAGCTAGTGCAATCAGATTCAGACAAAATTATGCAAATCTACCAATTTGTGTGAAGCTTTGCAACCCGGAGCTAAATTGTCGATTTTTCTGATTTGTTTGTGTATATAGGTGCAAAATCAAGTTTTTGCACTGAGTAATTGTAGCAATGCTTTGCAATTTACGAAAAATTTATGTTAAAGATTCTGAAGAATGAATTATAATGTGTTTTATCTTTCTTTCTTTCTTTTCTTTATGATTTGTCTCTGATTTTGCGTTTCTTAATAATTTCTTGACTTATTTTTTTTCGCTTATCTTCCTTTCTATGTACTTTTCTGTTTGATCTTCTTCGTTATTACTCTTTTTCATCTTTTTCTTCGTTATTACTTTTCTACGTTTCTTCTTCTTTTTCTTCGTTATTTCTCTTCTTTGTTTCTTCTCCTTTTTCTTCGTTATTACTCTTCTTTGTTTCTTCTCCTTTTTCTTTGTTATTACTCTTCTTTGTTTCTTCTCCTTTTTCTTTGTTATTACTCTTCTTTGTTTCTTTATCTTTTTCTTCGCTATTTATCGTCTTTGTTTCTTTATCTTTTTCTTCGCTATTACTCTTCTTTGCTTCTTCATCTTTTTCTTCGCTATTACTCTTCTTTGCTTCTTCATCTTTTTCTTCGTTATTACTCTTCTTTATTTCTTCATCTTTTTCTGTGTTATTACTCTTATTTATTTCTTCTCCGTTTTCTTCGTTATTATTCTTCTTTGTTTCTTCATCTTTTTCTTCGCTATTTATCCTCTTTGTTTTTTATCATTTTCTTCGCTATTACTCTTCTTTATTTCTTTATCTTTTTCTTCGTTATTACTCTTCTTTGTTTCTTTATCTTTTTCTTCAATATTACTCTTCTTTGTTTCTTTATCTTTTTCTTCATTATCACTCTTCTTTGTTTCTTCATCTTTTTTTTCGTTATTACTCTTCTTTGTTTCTTTATCTTTTTCTCCGTTATTACTGTTCTTTGTTTCTTTACCTTTTTCTTCATTATTACTCTTCTTTGTTTCTTTATCTTTTATTTCGTTATTACTCTTCTTTATTCCTTTATCTTTTTCTCCGTTATTTCTCTTCTTTGCTTCTTCATCTTTTTCTTCGTTATTACTCTTTTTTGTTTCTTCTCCTTTTTCTTCGCTATTTCTCTTCTTTGTTTCTTCTCCTTTTTCTTCGCTATTTCTCTTCTTTGCTTCTTCATCTTTTTCTTTGTTATTACTCTTCTTTGTTTCTTCATCTTTTTCTTCGCTATTACTCTTCTTTGTTTAGAAAAGTTAATAAAAATCAGAGATTTACAAATATGGGGATTCAGGTTTCATTTCAATCTGTTTGGATGAATTTGACATGTTTAAAATAACCTTTGGTAAATCAGGGAGGGGTGAGGGGGGTTAGACTGTCGTTTTACAGATTGTCCAACATGCTAGACAATCCTATGACGGACGCCTTATTTTTATATAAATATTAAATATCGAGTATTGTACATTTTATTTATTTTTAAGCAATAGCTGTAAATTTAAAATAAATAAGATTAAGAAACGTTTATCAAATTTTCTAAAATTTACAAATAAAAAGAAACATCGCCATTAGAACGCCAAGCGGCAGTTGTTGGAACCTATACCCGCCGTTTGTACACACAGAGATACAATCAAACCCGCCGTTATCTGGTTTGTTAGTTTTCCTAATGAAGAAAAATAATGCCTCCCTGAAAATAAAGAAATTAGTTTGAATGACTTTTGAAAAAGTAAAGCAGTCTTAATGGAAACGTAGAGGGGACTATTATGTTCTTTGTGTGGGATGATACATGTATAAAAACAGATGTAAGGGGGGGGGGGAATTCCTTCTCCTTGGAAAATTGGCGGATGTTACCCCTTTGGAAAAATTAGAGGGCGCAACTATAGAGAGAGCAGGCATCTCTTTGACTTTTAAGGATGTAGCTAGAGACAATTTTCCTTGTAGCGACTGGCGTGCAACTTAATCTTTCAAAAACTATGGAAAATCAAAAAGGGGGTAACATATTTTTCCCTCCCATCCCTAGCCATGTCAGGGAATGGACATAAAAAATAACCTAAATCTCTTCTGAATTCTAGGGGAGAATTTTGTGTCGAGGACAGGGGGGGGGTGGGGAATTGGGACCAGGTGGTTCAGACGTTTTGACGCTTATTGGATACAAACAAACAAGGAATTTAGCAAAATATATTCATATATATATATATATATTATAGAAAGCTTACTTGTCTTTCTTCACTAGATCATCACAGTCATATAGTCTGTCTTTTCTGAAGTAATTCTTGATTGGTTCATCGCAGTCAGATTTCCTAAAGAAAACTTGCTGCGTTTGTCCTTTATTTGATTACAAAACTCAATCTTTATAATTAATTAAGACATTCACATATATGTTGGTGTAAGGTATTTTCCCAAAGGCATTTTCCCAAGGGCGACTTCCTCTCAAAGAACAATTTCGCAAGTGGCAACTTCACAAATGTGCAATTTCCAAAGCGGCAACTTCCAAAAGGTTAGGTAAGGCTCTCTGAGGCGCCGCAGGCTACAATGGGGGCCAAGCAACGCGGCTAGGTTGCGCTAGGGGGCCGATTGCTGCGGCTAGAACAGGCTGGTGCCGAGCGCTGCACCTAGGTTGGGCTAGGTGGGCTGAGCTCGGCGGCTAGAACAGGCTGAGGCTGAGCGCTGCGGCTATGAAAGACTTGGGAAGTTGCCCTTGGGAACTTTCACATTTGGGATGTTGCCACTTGGGAAAATACCCTTGGGAAGTTGCAACTTGGGAAAAATCCTTTGAGAAAGTACATAACATCTATATGTTCACTATAGCAGGCCAGACGGCTGGAGCGAATGGACTGACATTTGTTGTGGACACTCATGGGTAGCCTGGGGGTGACATAGGCTAAAAAAATATAATTTCTTTTTCTTCAAAAAAAACCTAATTTTATGACATTATTTGTAAATTTATGTTTTTTTATCGAATTGCAATTTCTTTTATGATTAAAAAATTCAAATACGAAACCTTTCCTTCGCAAATTCCTCCTTGTTTGCCAAACTTCTAAGATTGCAGCAGGGATAGTTTCTGAATATTTATATTTGTTACAAAACCATGAAAACCCATATCACGTGTTATATAAAGTGTTTTCACACAGATCCAAAAATTTCAAAATTAGATGAGAATTTCGTCAATTATTTTAAACTAAAGCTAATAAAAAGTACTTTATAGTTATAATCTGAACAAAAAGAATAATTTTGTTTGATATCGGTAATCTTTAATGATTGATCTCGGTATTCAATGTGGGCGCTTTTAAATTTTAGAATAAATGCCTGATAGCTCAATTAAAGCTATCCCTGCAGGGTATAACCATCACGGAATATCATAGAGGAATTAAACTAAGCTGCAAATAAAAAATCAACCAACTTAGAATTTTTGAACAATGTAAACTAAGAAAATTATAATTGTACAAACTTCAGTGGGTTCTCCATTGAAAATTTTGAGGCAAATCGGTTAAGGGGTTTGTTAGTTATGATAGGACATACAAACAGAGATTACTACTTTAAATATAGATTTTAACCTGAACAGTTCCCTACAGTGCTGAACACCTCCAGGTTTCACAAGGATAGGATCAGATGAACCATTCCTGATTTATTATTATTATTATCATTATTATTATTATTATTATTATTATTATTATTATTATTATTATTATTATTATTATTATTATTATTATTATTATTATTAATGGGGGCGAAAAAATAAAAGTTTACCTCTTTCAAGTCTCAGGGAAAAGGTGAATATCCACAAAATAAAGAAAAATATCATTTTCTGAAAGAAAAAAAATTCTTCTCCAAAGCTGTACCTAAATTTGTCTAAATCTTTAAAAAACTAAAACAGATTTTTTCTCTGGTAAAAGATAGATTTACTGCATTTTTTCAGTTTTTTATGTGTGGCTAAAGTGTGTAGTGTATAGATCAATTGTATTTTTTTAACTGAGAAGTTTAACATGAAAACTCAATTAGACCAACACAAGATTTCAATCAACTGCAGTTTGGAAAATAAGCAGAATTTTTAGCAAATATTAAAATGTGAAATCGAATACTACGAAATTAGGATTGAAGATGGATATTTTAATTCTTTTAATTTATAAAAACATTTACAATCTTCTTTTTTGCTATTTATTAAGTTTCCCTTGAGTTAACTGACCTTTTTACATCATTGTCTATTATTTCACTCTGTATTTTTAATTATTTCACAATTTTCTTTTTTGTATCACTTTTTGTTTGAATTATTTTCATCATTGTATTTTTCTTTCGCATTGTTTGAATCTTTCAAATTGTCAATTTTCTTTATCTTTGTATTCATTTTTATTATCATAATATTTTTCTCTTTTTTCTCTCTTTTCCCGTTCTTCGATTCCCCTCCTCATCCCCCCCCCCCCTATCCTCCCTCCCTCCCTTGTATAGATTAGCATGTTATCTGACCTATCTTAACAGTTGCCTGCAATTCTGGTAGAACTTATATTTATTTCTAGATCTACAGATAGACATATTTGACGGTTTTAGATACATTCAGATAAATATTGAAAATTAGAGAGATACAAACAGATATATATGCAGTTATACTAACAATACATGATCTTAGCAAGGAGGATATAGATATAAAAATAGGTAGAGAGATACAAACAGATATACATGCAGTTATACTAACAATACATGATCTTAGCAAGGAGGATAGACATATAAATACATAGAGAGATACAAACAGATATATATGCAGTTATACTAACAATACATGATCTTAGCAAGGAGGATAGATATATAAATAGGTGGAAAAGTAAATATATATTCGATATTAGTTAGTGCATGTATTGTACATCATTGCATGGATATGACTAATTAGCATGCAGATTCAATTGTTGTGGTTTTGATAAAAACACCAGGAATTTATTTGGGGGAAAAATCTCTGAGCCCAAAACTTAAGGCAGGTTATCGTCATGAAAACCAATGGGGTTAGGCAGTTTTGTTGATATCAACATTTTTGTTCAAAAATATAATTTTATTTAGTTTCTTCATATTCTACAATTTTTTCGAATCTCTTAAATCAAAATCTACAAAATTTAAAACCCCAACAAGGAAACTCGATACTCTTTTAAATTTCGGGCTCTGAAAACCATAGATTTCTCTGATCCAAGGGGAGGGGTTAACCCCAATGGTCCCTCCGCTGGTCCTAATTTTTATTTTTTTCTGTTTTGTTATTTCTTTTTTCCATCAGTTTTTTTTCATAAAAGTTCTATACTTTAATAATATTCAATCATTCACTCATAATAATCAAAATAATCACACAATTCAAATTTTCGCCATTCACCGTAAGTTTTTATTTTTTTATTTTGATAGTTATGCGAAGTGAGTATTATTTATAAAAAGAAAACCATAGACAGATAAATTACAGAATACATGTAAAAATAAATAGATAGATAAATTGCAGAATATATGTAAAAAATAAATAGATAGATAAATTGCAGAATATATGTAAAAATAAATAGATATTTCGCCCCTAGGCACCTGTGCAATTATAAATGGTAAACAATACGCAATAAATTTATAAGATACGCGATAAATTATGCACAGCGTCTCTGATATGAATTTCATGCTGTGTTAAGGCAGATGGAAAAAAGTGGAAACCGTTTTATCAATTAATTATATAAACGATATTTCCACCTACAAGGATATTCAAATAATTCAACTTTGCAACTTGTTTAGACTTTTTCCAGGTGCTGCTTTCCTTAGTAAGAGAAGAGAAGAAGAGGTATGTAATTCGTCAATCAAAATCAAAGCGAAGAATGTTTTTAATTATCTGAGTTTTATAGAAAAATACTTAATTTCTTTCAACATTTGTCTGCTAAACCACCAGAGTTGCTTTGAATAAACTTTGAGACACCCTTGGCAAAACTATTTTCTAGATGAAATATTTTAAAATAGATTCTAATATTAAACTAATTAGTTGTCAGTAGAAATCCCACACAGAATGTTTTTAATTCTTAACCCTCAAACTGTTTTTATTTAAACTCTAAAGGGTCTTTTAAAGGTGTCTTATCACATCTGACATTAAGCTAAAATCTTCTAATCCACTACCCCCTACCCCCTCAACCACCCCCCCACACTACGACAGTAAGTGTAACAAGAGGAGGGGAGGGGAGGGAAAAGAGGGGTTGGAGACAGGAGTGGGAGGGAAAGGAGGGATTTTATCTATGTTTATTGTTGACCACTTTTCATTAAATCTATTTAATCAAATTAACCATTAAGACCCATTAACGAATTGATTTGGCTACAGTTGGTAAAAAATATCGTATCTTCATGTTTGCAGAATGTGTCACAGTGATCCAGCACTCCTGCATGCGAGTTCATTTGCGCCTGATCCAATCAGGGTTCAGTCATGTGTTTGTTGTCTATTCTGAACCAATAGAAATAGTATGGCGGTAAAATCTATCTTTCTATCTATCACATTATCCAATCAGAGTTATGAATCCTTCAATCGGCGCTATCAGTAAATGAAAATGTTTACTTCTACTGAAACTATGGGGCCAGAGATTGCAAAAATCTATGAGAATTTCTCCCATTATTTGCTCAAAACTAAAGCTAAAAACAAGTGGTTTATAAGGCTACATGTCTCTGTTAGTGATTGAGGTAAAATCAAAGGCCAAGGTGTTGCGACTCTTCATCGTCGACCTATCTTGAAAATTGATGCAACTTTGATTAGAGTCTAGATCTCTGTGGATTTAACGGATTTATATGTAAAAACACTGTTTGCAATTTAATAAACAAGTTCTGCCAATAAACTTTCAATAATGTAAACTCACTCGATTGTCATTCTATCAAATTATAGAATAAATTAGAGATTTTTTCAAGTTTTTGACTCGTGAATTCTGTTGAATTATGTTCAATTTCCTGGTTGACTTTGATAGCGGACGGGTTCAACCTGGATAGATATGTTTTGAGAACTTGTTATGCAGTAAGGCTTTACTACAAAAGGAGTTTTTATCCTTTTTTATCAAAAATTTCAAGTATTTTATCCTAAAATCATTTATTTTCCTCAATTCAGCGAATGAACACTTTTTTTAAAATTTCACTCTGTGCAAACATAACTTATTTCTTGTGGAAAAAAATATTCACCAAGGGGGGGGGGAGATTTTTCAAGACCATAAACACCCCTGTTAAGACTCGCTGGACTTTAATCAGAACCTCTAGTTTACCGGGGTTATGTACATTGTTTACTGTGACATTTACGAATCATAGGACTATGCTCTTATCAATTAACAGAAACAGAAGAGAAGTTTTCGTGCAGGGAATCAACAGGTATAATATATATCTTTATCTATATGCAGGGTGTCCCACATCATATTGAATCGTGTTATAGCTTTAAATTGCGATTTCCGGGACGAATAAGAAAATTTAAAAAGAACAAATTATTTAAAAAAATTGTATATTGGTAATATAAAGATTTGCATGTAGAAAATAATAAGTTTTTCGAGTACTATATGCGCAGGTAAACAGCGGGAGTAACTTTAAGTAGTCTGGGCAACGCTGAGTTCCCAAGCTAATAGAAACATAAAGTTTCTTAGGTATTACTATGTATCAACTAATTGATATTTATTTACAATAAGCCCATTATTACATTAATTGTATAGACGCTAATTTCCCATAAAATTTTGTCCCACCTTTCAGATGCCTTTTCAGGAATTTGTCCGGAGGGGGTTTACATTTTTTTTTCTACAGGGTAGCCCCGGCACCGTTGGGTCCAAAAAAAACCCTCTGAAACCAACAGATTTAACTGGCCCAGGGGGAGTCGGCTGAGCCCCAATGCCCCCTCCCCCTGCTCCCGATATTTTGAGAAGGAAGTGTATCTAATTTGTAAAAATATTAAAACGTGTGAGGCCTATAATCAGGTCTGCATCCTTTTTTGGGCTGTCTGCATATCCTCAGATTCAATTTGCAGATTTAAATAGTTCGCAATTTTGGTTTGCAAACCCTTGATTAAAGGTGCAGCTCAGGGGTGGACAGAATCTTGATGAAATCTAATCAAGGGGGCTGGGGGGGGGGGGATTATTATATCACGTTAAACTAACTATGCATCGAAGTGAATCATGATTTTATCGGAATATTTTGATCTCTTATTTATATCAGGCAAAAAAACGTTATATTGTATCTATTAAAATGTTTGAAATGCATAGCATAAAAAAATATAATATAGCAAATAAGAAAAAATATACATTTAATGTTTGGAGTTTACACAAACATGACTTTTAACCAGGACCTCTAGTTTGCCGTGATATGGATATGAATATTTATAGCAAGGGACAACCAGCTTTCCTTATTAAATTTGAACTTAGAGATATCTAAATGCTTCGTTTCTTTTATTACGCAATACATTCATTATCTGAAAGGGAGTGTTTGCGAAATTTGAAAGGGGGTATAGGCTGATATCGAATTAAATTTGATCTCGAGCGCTACTAAGTTTACTTTTATTTGTTGCGTAAATAAGCGAAAAATGGGCATGGGAAAAATATGAAATAAATTTTTTGTGCATTTTCATGGAAAAAATTGATTGACCATTTTTTGAACTGCAAAAATATTGTAATAATGAGAATGTGAGAGCAAAGAAAAGAGGATTAGATAAAAAAGCAGTTCAGTTCAAATAGCAACACATGATATAAAAGTGGAAGAAAAACGAAAACATTATTCCAGGGCCCGGCCCGGTGAGATATTCCAGGGCCCGGCCCGGTGAGATTAGATTACAACTTTACTAACTTTCTTTATTTTGTCAATACAGTAGTATTCCCCCCTTTCCCTCATCTAGTATTTTCTAACTATTATACAGTCTTGAATCAAAATATTATTATACTAGCCTTAGAGGGCGCTTCGCGCCCATCTTCTAAATTAATTGTGAACATGTTCTCTTTGTGTACATCGTAAAACAAAACAAAAATAATTCGCGGATTTTCACAAAAAATTTCGCGGATTTTCAAAATTTTAAAAAATTTAATGACGATCGAATTTTGATGGAGACAAATATTTAAAATTTTGATGATTCATAAACCTTCCCTGGAGTCCCTAGATGTCCCACAAAAAATTTGGGCCCGATCGGTTCAGCCGTTTTGACGTTTATTGGATACAAACAGACAGACAAACAGACAAGCCAAATTTATATATAGATTGAGTCTTTGCCACAAACTCAAATGTTCCAATATACCTATATATTTACAACCTTCAATGATGTGAAGATTATTTCATATTTTATTTTTCAAACCTAGATTATTTAATGTCACAAAATTCATAGTTTATAATATCAAAGGTCTACGACATTAGGGTTACAATAATATATGGATGAGAAAATCTGAATTTTTGAAAAAGCCTCAATTTCGGGTAAATGTACAAATTACAATTGTACAGACATATATCAGCGAATAGACATAACTATTAATCATTTCAGATGAAAACTATAAGTATAAATAAACCGGCCAAAAAACAGATCAAATATAGTGCAAACATTAAATATTATACTGTAACTATACATAGCAAAATTATAGATTTGAATCGTGAAAACAGGAATATATATATTTTAACTCTATCAATTGAGAATAAGATCGAATATCTAATTGAGAATAGGATCGAATATCTAATTGAGAATATGATCGAAATCGAATATCTAATTGAGAATAGGATCGAATATCTAATTGAGAATAGGATCGAATATCTAATTGAGAATAGGATCGAATATCCAATTGAGAATAGAATCGAATATCTAATTGAGAATAGGATCGAATATCCAATTGAGAATAGAATCGAATTTCTAATTGTGAATAGGATCGAATATCCAATTGAGAAAAGGATCGAATATCTAATTGAGAATAGGATCGAATATCCAATTGAGAATAGGATCGAATATCTAATTGAGAAGAGGATCAAATATCTAATTGAGAAGAGGATCGAATATCTGATTGAGAATAGAATCGAATATCTGATTGAGAATAGGATCGAATATCTAATAAATAATGAGAAGTTTTCAGAAAACTTCAAAATGGCGGAATCCGAGAGAAAAGAGGAAAATGATGAGAAAAGAATAATAAATTCTACCGAATATTCAGCATCAGGGAAATCAAACATTATTTGATTTTAAAAACTTATTATTATTTTATTAATTAGACTAGCTTGGGAACCCAGCGCTGCCAAGGTAAGTAAAAGTTACACCCGCCCGCCGTTTACCCGCACTGTGAACGATTTTACTGGGAAACTAAATTTTTGCCATTAAATTTGACCCACTCAAAGCCAAACTAAAAAAATTCCCATGGGTCTCTCGAGTTCCCCAATCAAAATTTGAGGCAAATCGGTCCATGGTTCCTGAGTTATGATCAGACAAAACAACAGACAGACAGGTAAACAAGATTTCAACTTTATAAATACAAATACTTCACTTTAAATACAGTCATAGTCGTTTATATCAAAAAAATGAAGACTACTTTCTTTTTCAACTTTCTACCAATATTTCACACAGCAGAGACAAATAAACATGTAAACAAAGAGAAGTCATCAATTAAAAGCTTCTCTATGTCTAGTTGTAAACTTGTAATTTGATAAATGGTTGAAGGGATCAAAGCATTTGTAATAAAAATTAGTCTTTATTGTATTAATATATTCGCCGAACAGTGTAGGAGCATTAATTTTTCTGATATTCCTGCCTTTCCAAAGCGTGGTATACCTTTTTTGTGTTTATATTAACGGAGATATGAAGGATTTCGTTTTAAATTAGATAATTTTGAGATTAAAAAAATCTTAATATTTCTAGTAATTTTTAAAACAAAAAATGGAAGACCACATTTTGTAAATGGTAGGACTAGGATTATGTTATGATTGTATCACAAATATTTATTTTTAAATGAATACCGAAACAATTTTTAAAGGGGCTACAACGTTTTTTAAGTCTCTCTAAATTTATGAAAAAATTCACTTTTTAAAGAATATCTCTATTTCTATTTCTATGACAATGTGAAACTCAAAATTTGAAAATGTTTCATTTTGTCCAGTTTCTGGAAAGTTTCGTAAGGATTCGATCTTTCTCACTCACAGTCTGGGATATGATTGTAAAAGGAGGTAAATTTTTTTTCTTTAAACAATTTTTTTACAATAGATTAGATTAAAATTGATTGTTCTATAAACAACAGGGGAAAGGACATTTTTGGATTAAATGAATGAAATTAAGAAAAAGTCTAAATGACATTAAAATCTACTAAAAGGGCTCAAAATTGTACTCCATCACATAATTTCAAATATACAGGGTGTCCCACGAAACATGACTGTTGGTGAAAAGTTTATAATGTCTTCTTTCATATACTGTAATAGATATTTAAGACTTTTTGCAGTTTATTTCGTAAAAAAAATCATTACTTTAGTAAATTTTACTTTGAAATCAATATAACTATCATATGACTGTCATATTTTAAACTATTTAAAAACTGTGTCAGGTTTCGTGGAACACCTTGTATTAGTTTTTCTCTTCAAAGATTTGAATGATGTGTTATGAAGTCCAAAAGTAATAGAAATTTTTTTAAATTTTTTACACCGTTTAACGTCAATTGGAAACAGACAACAAAAAGTTACTTCAATGACCCACTTACAAAATTTAAAACTATGCGAAAAAGCACATTTTTGAGTATATTAAAATGATTTGAAATGGAATATTGATTTGGGTCACCCTGTGTGTTTGATAAAAAGCAGTACCAAAAGAAAAAAGGTGCAGTTAAGAATTTTAATTTTCGCCAACACAGTAAAACCAAATGCCAAAACATTGCAACACTTTTAAGTAATCCTAATTCTAAATATTTGTGCAACTTTTAATAGCAGTCTAGATGTATGTGTGTGTTCAACTTTTCATAGCAGTCTGGATCTATGTGTGTGTGCAACTTTTCATAGCAGTCTGGATCTATGTGTGTGTGCAACTTTTCATAGCTGTCTAGATCTATGTGTGTGTGCAACTTTTCATAGCAGTCTAGATCTATGTGTGTATGCAACTTTTCATAGCAGTCTGGATCTATGTGTGTGTGCAACTTTTCATATGCAGTCTGGATCTATGTGTGTGTGCAACTTTCATATGCAGTCTGGATCTATGTGTGTGTGCAACTTTTCATATGCAGTCTGGATCTATGTGTGTGTTCAGGGATAACCTGCATATCCTGGAGAATGATGTTTTGATGTACTTTTCTGGAAATCTTCTTCACTTCTTCCACGTAGAGACTTGCAGCTTCACATATCACAGGTATAAACAGTTATTCGGTGCATCAACCAATTTTTATGAAATGGAGAGGTCGCTAAACTACCTACCACTGGTTCAAATCCTGTATCACTGATTCATTCTCCAATTAATTACCTAAATCTTAATAAATCTTTAACTTTGAATTTATGATTCAGGATTTAAACTAGCGTATGCAGGTTCAATGACTTCTCCGTACTCATTAACTCCAGTCCCTGCTTGAATTAATTGAAACAAATTAATTTAGCCAAAACTTTTTTTGCACAAGAATTCAACAAATTGCTAATTTTGACTTTTATATACCTAATTCCGGGGTTATGCTGTTAACTAAAGGGTTTTAATTCAATTCAAATTTAGGGGCCTTAAGACGGAGTGGTCTAAATTTTTCTAATTATTAATGTTTGAAGGTTGATAACAAAATATTGTATGAACATGGAATGGATTTTCAATTACTTTTTCACTTTTCAGGTTTTAAATTTTAAGATTCAGGTTTAGAAGTTAAGTTTTTAAGAGGTTTCAAAAAGATACAACTGTTGATTTTCTTTAGTTTTAGGTTGTCAACAGATTTATATCTCAATGGTTCGCAGAAAAAAAAGATTGAGAAAAATTTTTTAGAACAAATGGAATGATTTTAAATCTGATTTTGAATGTTCAGGATGAATGAAGGAATCTCTGCTTTAAAGGTTCATCCAGTAGAATCATTGTTTGCTGTAGCTGAACAAGGGACTACTCCCTCAATTCTAATATTCTCCTGGCCTAAACTGGAGATTATTAAAAAAATCAGGTAAATATTTTGCATTTCAATTAGAAAGGAGAAAAAAAGACCATTTTATGTTCACTAAGCAATTACATGATTTTTTTTCAGAGAGGAAGAATCTAGCTTCTACAGTGCCATCAGTTTTAGTGCAGATGGTGCCCTTATGTGTCTTCAAGGGTCTTCGCCAAGATTTCTAATATCAGTCTGGAATTGGAGGAATAATGAGCAGATTGCATGCTCAGAAGGAGATCCTTACCCAGTTTATTCCCTTCTTTTCTCTCCTTTTAATCCAACCTTGATTACAACCTGTGGTCAAGGGCACATTAACTTTTGGAGAATTGTAACAACTAGCAGTGGAACAAAAATTGATAAATTAGCTGGAAAGCTATGTCGAAAACCAAAAACTGATATTGAAGCCTGTATTCAACTTTCAGATGGAAAAGTAATCTCTGGCTGCACTTGGGGAAGTCTTTTACTTTGGGAAGAAGGCGCAGTCAAGGTTGAAATCAAAAGAAGAGATTTGTCAAAGTGCCATCAGAGTTCTGTACTCCAGTTTGTGATAGCAGAAGGAGAACTGATTTCCATAGGAGCAGATAGTTGGGTCAGAGTTTGGGATCTTGAAAGTATTCAGCACGCAGAGGGGATCAATCTAGAAAAGACTGACGGAGTATTCCTTCTTGATCCCATAAATGAAGTTCAAATAGCTCCAGATGCTGTTCTTCAGTCTATTTCAAAGAGCAAAGTAAGGTCTTCTGGTGAAGAACATTTCTGGTACATTCAAGATGCTGGGGGTGGTATATGGAAGGCCGATTTATCCTTTTCCCTAACCATGCGGAAACCAGAGAAAATTTTTCAATGCCATGCTGGAGCAGTTACTTCCTTGGTTTCCAACCCATCTGAAAATATATTAATCTCAGGTGGTATTGATGGAAGAATTTGTGCTTACAATTTAAAAAGAAACACAATGGTAGGTAGTATTAAGTATACCTGTGGTGTGACCTGCATGCACTGGCTTCCATTGGCCCTGGACATTACTGGAACTCAGGTCTTAATTGGATTTGAAGATGGAGTTGTCAGGTTATACTTTATAATGGTCAACATGGCAGATGGAAACTTTGCAAATGTTATCAAAGCAATGACTGTGAACATGAGACTCTTGCAAGCCCTTAAACCTCATAGAAAGGCGGTCAGGAAGATAAAAGCTCATTTAAAGATAAATATTGCTGCTTCAGTTGGTAATGACAATACTATATTTGTGTTTAGATTGAATTCACAAGATTGTCTAATTAAGGTTATTCCCATCGGGTACTTCAGTTTTGATCAACAAATTATTGCAGTGGATTTCCATCCTGGGAATAGTATTATCTTGATGGTTGGATTAGAAGATGGAAATCTAAAATTTTTGGATTTTAATGGTCTTCCGAACAGTCAAGTTGAGAAGGTTTGTCTTGACATGTCCCAATTCTTACAGGATGAAATAGATATCAAGACTTATTTAGGAAAGACTGAAATTAGCTTGTTTGATGTCTGGTATGAGAAAACCGAATTAATCCAATGCACTGTAAAGACTAAAGAGGGTATTGAGTTGTATTCCATCAATAAAGGAACTGAAATTGAGGAATTGAGAGTAATGGAAAATGTAAAAATAGTTACGCCAACTTCAACTTCTGATCTGTCTGTAATTGTACCCCCTGTTAGAAATTCAACCATAATCTGTGGATTTTCTAATGGGTTTCTAAAAGTTGAAGAAATATCCTCCTCTAAGAAAAACAACTATTGGCTCCAATCTATAAGTGATTACAAACATGGAATTATTTCTGATATTCTTGTCATGGATGGGAAAATTATTACTTCAGGGTTAGATGGAACTGTTTTTGTATTTGGTACAAAAGATGAGATCTTAAGTAAAAATAAAAACACAAGTGCTGAAATGCTTCTACTTTTAAGATCAAGCTATAACGCCAAAGCTCTGAGCTCCAGTTCATTTGAAAATGTTCATGACATCGAAGATCCAAACCACTTATGCATTGAAGATATGAAAATGAAGGTGAAAGAGGAACAAGACACCAAAGATGCAGAGGAAAAGATGCTTAAAATTCAAAAAGATGTTTCAAACTTAAAAAGAGACTTCAAAAAATTGTTAACAAGAAATGAAGCTCTACCAAGGGAATTTAAAATTCCCAAAGAGAATTTTCAGATGACTGACTATACTTTTCAAGAGATTCAAAACACCATTTGTAAGGACATTGAAAAAATGACTGAATCTTTTAAAGGTGAAACCGATAAAGCTGTTACATTGCTTAATAGCTTAAAGGCCACTTACTTTGATCCTATTGTATTTTCTAGAATTTGTGTGAAAGGATTACGATCAAAGCAAGAGTTATCTACTTTTAGACTTGCTAGGTTGGATGATTCTGATCTTTATGATGAAGAATATGAGGAAGTTGATTTAGATAATTACCACCAAGAGACATACACTCCTAAAACTCCTAAGCTTGCTGATGGTACCTTTAAAAGGTCAACTGGTACAGACACTGTAGACTCTGAATCAAACATTTCCAGTTCTGCAACAAATATTTCCAAGAGCAAATTAAATGTAAAAATTTCCAATGGAAGAATTCTAAAGGCTCTGAATAAGCAGGAGGATAAAAGAGAGAAAAAATTACTTCGTAAAAGAGAATGGGATGACCTGTATAACAGAAAGCCAAGAGAAAACGATGAAGATCCAACACTTGTAGAAGAGTTCAAACATGCAAAAGAGAACATGGGAGATTTTAAAAGAAAAACTAGTTTTGAATACAAACAAAAAGAAGACTTAAAGCCAGATAAAATATCAAAAGACTTGAATGTAATTGTAAAAATGATATTCAGCAAAAAGAAAGACTTCAATGAAAATGTAGTTTCCCTTCAGAAAGAAAAGCTTTCTGTGATTGCTGAGTTAAAACATTTTTATAAGGATATAATTAAAATTCAAGAGGATTTAAAACCTTGTGATAGGGATAATATCCCTAACATACCTACATTAGACTCTGAGGAACATAATACAGATATATTCACCATCGAGCAAACTGAAGTTGAAAATTTGAAAATCAAGCTTGCCTCAGAAGAGGAAGAGATGGAGCTTGGTAAGAAGAACATTGGTTCTAGACGGGGATCCAAAGCATCTTCAATAGGCTTAAAGCGTGCTCCACGCCAGTTATCTTCAGCAAGCAGGCAATCATCTGTAGCTGGACAGCTTGGGCTTAGTAAACCTGAAAAGAAGAATATGTTTTCTCATACAGGATATGGTCATACTACCCTTGAAGAAGATGAAAGTGATCAATGCTTGCAAGATTTCACAATAACAGAAAAATCACAATTTGAGATCATGATTGAAAGTAGAGAAATCATTCTTGCCAAGCATAAGCAGAAACAGAAAATTAATGAGATGAATAAAAAGATGTCTGACTTTGATGATAAAATATTTGAGGCTGTTTGTCAGAAAAATGATCTTGAAGCTCAGCTTAAATATGCTGAGCTCTCTCTGATATTGCTCTTTGAGAAATTTCAAATTATCAATAAGGATCAAGAACTAGAAGCCTGCTTAAAAGCTGAAGTAGAAAAGCACCTTTCAGGTCTAGAAAAAGTTAATACCAAGTTAGAAAGTGTAGAATTGCAGTTAAAAAATAAGCAACGCAATGTTGAAATATACAGAGAACAAAAACGAAGTATAGATGAAAATGTGGAGAGAGAGCTTTCAGACAATAAGTATGCAGACTATCTATGGGATTTGTACAACAAGAAACCATCCATTTCCCACAAAGAAGATTGCTATGCAGACATTGATCTGGAAATGGGAGTTACAGATACACTTTTAACAGCACTTCAAACCGAGGAATGTATATCCAATGATGATGAGATCAACTTAAAACCTGAAGATATCGATCAAGAAACCTTTAAATTGATCATTGGTTTTCGAAACAAGAAACATGATGCTGAAGCTGGATTAACAGCTGAAAGAAGATTGGAAGACAATATTGGACGAGAACTAACAAATCTAAGAACCATAAGTTCAACAAAAGAAAAGGCTTTACATGATGCTCAATATGCTCTGCATGTATATATGATAAAACGACAACAAAAACTGAATGAGCTAGATCAAGTGGTTATGGTTAATATGCACAATTTGAGATTTCTTGACTGTGACCGCTTACATGGAACAAAACCTTCAGCTGATGAACTTCTTGCATTTCCTGAGAACTTGTTAATCACTCTTCAGGAAAGAACTGAAGAATTAAAGTATGAGAAAAATATAATGAAAAAGAAATATAAGGAGACTAAGAATGCATATGAAGGACTAATATCCTCCAATAAACAACTAAAGAAAGAAATCCAGGTATTGGATTTAAAATGCAATGTGGAAATGGAGAAAAGATTTGGCCCTGGAGTAACTTTGGAAAGACTAGAATCATTTTCTGTGAATAGAACGCTAGAAGAAATGAAAGAAACGCTGCTGTTAAAGGAAAGAGAATACTGGAAAATTCAAGATAAAAAAGAAGAAGACATAAGGGCAACAAAGTTGGCATTACATGAGCAAATAATAATAAACACAGACATTTTGACATCAATTACTTCCTTACAACGACAAAAGTTTAGTAACATGAAGAAAAAAGAAAAGTGGGAAAAATTGATAAAGGAGAATCTTGAAAAGCAAGAGATTGACAAGGCAAATGTGGAGGAGTTAAAGGAGATGGTGAAAAAATACCAAAGACAAGAAGCACATATCAAAGAACTCAAAGAGTTGCTAATGCGCTACCTCCTCAAGTCTGGTGTGGTTGAGACAACTAAGAAAAATTGGTCCAGACCTATGACAGGGAGATTGCAACAAGAACCAGCAAGGATAAAAAATCTTCAGGTTGACTTCCCAGTGGTTCAAATTCAAGAATTATCAAAAAGAGGAATTCCAACCATAAATTTGAAAATGTAAGAGTTGTTACCTACAGTGGTCAGTTTTTATACCAATACAATGAAAGCGCCTTTTCTAAGTTTTTATTTCTGTCAAGAATTTTTCAAATTACAAGTTTATAAGTGAACAAAGTTAGAGAAGCTGTATATTGACAGTTTCTCTTTGTTTCTATTTTGATGTGCATCCATGCTGTTTATTAGATTGAAATCAAAATTTAAATCAAATAACGTCTTTTTTTGTATTGATAGAAATTATAAATTAGTAAAACTGTTTCAGTTTCTTTTTAAGCTAGCAATGTAAATCTTTTTGTGTAAAATATATCATTTTTTTCGTATTCAGGTAAAGCATAATATTTTAATCACATAATTACATTAATTTGACTGTAAAATGACAATTGTTTCAGTTTTATTTCTACCTGTATCATAACATTTTTTGGATTAATTTTTTTATTAAAAATGTATGTTAATGAAATATGTTCAAAGAATTCATCAAATTCTGAGAAATATGTAAATAGTTTTGCCAAACATATTAATGTAAAAAAATAATTGACAAATTCTAGTTAATTCAGGAATCAGGAAGCATAATATTATAGTTTTTAAAGATGCAGGTATACAAAATAAGGTGCCCAAAATGGTGAATAAATTTTGTCTGGAAATTTAGTATCAAAACTGGTAAGTTTAGCTTGAATAATTGTTGTCAAATAGAAATTATTGAAATTAAATATCAAAATATTAAGTTTAGCTCGGGTACCGTTTAACACAAACAGAGATAATATAGTTTTCATTTGGTTTTTATAACCATTCAATTTTTCTTCAATTTAACAATTTTTATAACCAATAGAGAATTTTCATAATTTAGATTTTGGCTTAAATTTTTTAATATTTTATTGGGAAAATTATTTAGATTTTTTTTTTACTTTGCACCTTTTTAGGAGCATCAGAATTCGATAAATTTTTAGTTGAACAATAAAACCTTCTTTAAAATTAGCATTTTTAACCTACGTTTACATATGTGGTATATTGTATACTAACTTTAAATACATAGAGGGCTAAACGTTTTGGCAAAAGTTAAACAATTGTATTTTTTATACAAAATGCCAAAACATAATTGTATTTATAAAAATATGTATCATATCTGGCTGGAGTGCCCTGATAACGCTGGCGTTGCCCAGGTTTATATTCCCTAGAAACCAGCGACGTCGCACGACCAGTCCCATTAGGTCAAGATAGGTCAGATTAGGTCGGGTTACGTCAGATTACCAAATTGGTCGCAATATGACCAGTCCCTTTAGGTCGTGTTAGGTCAGGTTAGGTCGGGTTACGTCAGATTACCAAACTGGTCGGAACATGACCAGTCCCCCTAGGTCGTGTTTGGTCAGGTTAGGTCGGGTTAGGTCAAATAACCTAACTGGTCTGATACTGGTCTTAACCTGACCAATCCACTTAGGTCAGATTTGGTCGAGTTTGGTTGAGTAATGTCAGGAGACCTAACTGGTCGGAACATGACAAGTCCTTCTAGGTCATGTTTGGTCAGGTTAGGTAGGATTAGGTCGAGTTACCTAACTGGTCTCATACTGGTCTTAACCTGACCAATCTACTTAGGTTGGATTTGGTCAAGATTGGTTGAGTTATGTCAGGAGACCTAACTGGTCGGAACATGACCAGTCACCCTAACTGGTCGGAACATGACCAGTCACCCTAACTGGTCGGAACATGACCAGTCCTTCTAGGTCATGTTTGGTCAGGTTAGGTCGGATTAGGTCGAGTTACCTAACTGGTCTTATACTGGTCTTAACCTGAACAATCAACTTAGGTTGGATTTGGTCGTGATTGGTTGAGTTATGTCAGGAGACCTAACTGGTTGGAACATGACCAGTCCCCCTAGGTTGTATTTGGTCAGGTTAGGTCGGGTTAGGTTGAGTTACCTAACTGGTCTCATACTAGTCTTAACTTGACCAATCCACTTTGGTCGGATTTGGTCGAGATTGGTTGGATTAGGTCGGACTTGGTTGCTTTACCTAGCTGGTCCTAACTGTTCATAACTTGACTTTTTAGTCAGATTGGATTACCAAACAATTTGGACGTCCAAAGTGACGTCATTTCGACTTCGAAAATTAGGTTGTGAGGACGTAAGAATCCTTGCGTTAAACGTCCTCAACACCTAAAATACGACGTCGCCGGACGTCCCATTGGTAATTATTGACGTCCTCATGACGTCCTAAGGACGACTTCTGGTTTCTAGGGTTAATATGCCTGGTCAGTGGTCATAGTTAATCCTGCTGTTACCCGTACATGGTAATTAATTATTATTTTACAATTCCCTGCAACTATAATAATATATTTGTGAACTGTTTTATCATAAGAGCTTGCACTGAATTGTGATGTCGAATAAGACGAAATGCACGAAACACTATATTTACGCTAAACATAATAACCCCAAGCTTGGGTTTACTTCGGGTATGATATTAACTGTCCTATGTACAACATAACATGAACTATGTATATTGAGGCCATGCTCACACGTGTTTCTTTCTTTGCCAAAGAGTTTTATTTATATGACCTTTAAATTATATACATAGATGACAAAACAGATGACAAATAGAGTATTGTTTATATTATATGTCAACGTACTATAGCTATACCTATAGTGAGCTTCTTACTATTCATAAAATGTTATCGATCCGGACGAGGGAGGGAAGGCAACCTCCCCCGCGCAGGTTCCGACCCTTATTTTAACTATTTTGCGGCAGGGCTTCCGAACCTCCCCCAAACCCTCAGGATTCTAGGGGGGGGGGGTAGATAACCGGCCAATAACCCCCCTTATTTACGCCACTGTTTGTAATTTTAATTATTTTTATGTCCATATGTGAAATATTGCTCGATCATGTGAACTATAATTTTGTGATGAAAAATTGTTTGACCTATATTTTTTCATGAAATATATAAATTTTAAACTGCATGATTATACAGGGTGTCCCAAAAAACATGGGAATTCAGTGACGAATTCGATATCGTCTTTTTAAATAATTCTTTGATTTAGTATAGTAATACCTAATGAGAAAGCTGTAATCTGTAAGAGTTTCGTCTGCTATGTTTACAATTTGTTTTTTTATGTTTTGACTGCATACGGTTGTACTTAGTTAAACAAGAAAATTGCAGTATACAAACAGAGTAAACTTGTCCGTCTTCACTGTTCATCGTGCGGAGCCATTATAGACACATCTTTACAGTCTTTTACCGTTTTCATAAAATAAACTCTAGCAGACATAATAATATTATTGCTTTTGAAATTAGGTATTATAATGCTATAATTCATAACAAAGACGATATCGAATTCGTCACTGAATTCCCATGTTTTTTGGGACACCCTGTATATAGTTCAAATGAGTAAATAATGTGATGTTTGAACTACAGGAAATGACGTCATGGTCAGAAGTTAGAATGAACAATAGTTCAAACGATCAATTGTTCAAATGATCAATAGTTCAAACGGCAGTAGTTTAAATGCGGATCCACCTCATCCACCTATGGAACATATAGATCCACCAAACTTTCTTACAAAACTCTATGTCTTTAAATGTCGTCGTATAATTTAGACTTGTTTGTAATTGAAATAAATCGAAGTATACTAATTCAACTCAATTGTTCCGAGAGTATAACAATTTCGCCGAATTGAATTTTTAAAGATTTTTTAAACAAAAAAATAAATTTCTACTTGTAGACATGACAATTTGTCCAATCTATCCATTTGATAAATAATGGCCTTCACTCTGTTCCTGGTTGGTAATTTCTTGCGGCATTTTCAAGTACAAAGCCGGTTTTTACCCGGGATACCGCGATATCAGCTCCTTGGCGGTAAAAGGCATCAGTTAGCCAAGAAAACTCATTATTTTTAATGTTTTGGAAAGGTTTGGCGACTTGTTTCTTTCTTATTTACATGCTGTCAAATACCATTTGATTTCTGCCATATTTTTTCATAGTTTGAAAACGTTTGTTTACATCTCTTTCAATCAGTTTTGATTACAGAACGGCTTTGTGATGAAAATGGCTGATAAAGAAGGAGGCGAAACTTTTGATGAAGCTGTAGAGGAGAGAGTGATCAATGAAGAGTATAAGGTCTGCAACACATTAGATAATTCATGTCACAAATGCAGGGAATGCACAAGTGTTGTTGTTTTCTTCAGGGTGGTAAACATCGTGTAAGATAGGACACAGTTCTAAATTAGGATTTAAGGGAGTGTAAGGATAAAATTGATCTAATTGATAAATTTAATTTTGTTCCAAAAGGCAAATTCAGGGTCACCCTCATTAACCATATTATGCATCTTCTGAGTTCTGATAGGACTGATCATTTTTCTTTCGGTATATTCCTAGAGAACGATTTTTGGACCCCCCCCCCNTTTAGAATTAATCCACCATTTTCTTTTAACTGTTTTTATTTAGAAATAATCCACCATTTTCTTTTAATGGTTCATATATTTAGCTGCCAAGTATCGCAAGTACAAAGTGCAGAATGACCTGGACGGATTACCAAACTACAGCGGGCGGTCAGCCCAGCTTTGGAGGTTTGCCCGGGATGCTGTTCTAGGTAGTTTAACTTTAATAGGTTTAGGGGGGGGGGTCCAAAAATCGTTCACTAGGACAGACCCTTTCTTTCTTTCACTCAATATTTGTTTATTTTCCTCTGAAAATCATTATTTTCTTAAATTCAGTAAAGAAAACTTAAAAAATCTTTCTAAATTTCTCTCATTTTCACTTCAGAAATGTGCCTTTTTTGCCTCAGATTGAGCTATAAACAAATACGAGAATGGATGCTGTGTACATATAGTCAAACTAAACTTGCAACATTTCTGAGTTTGTTAACTTCTGACCCCGATATCTACTACAAACTTATAAACAAAAAATAAAAGATTCCAGGGAAAAATAATTTATAGATGATTTAAATAAACGGAAGTCTTTGTCAGTTGACTTAACCGATGAAAAAAAAAAATTTCAGGAGCTAACTCGCTGATTTGAGCGAGAAGTTTTTTCTACTTTATTTTAGACGAGAAGTCTATTCCAGATCTCAGAGTTGTTAAATGTTAATTTAAATCTTATATAAAATAGAGAGTAAAATGCGAGATGCATTTTGTAAATTTTTGTGTATTTTTTAATATTGTTTCTACATGCATAAATTTTACGTAAATTTGTAACATTTTGTGTTCATTAAAAGTTTAAAAGAGAGAGATTTGGGCAAAATTATAAATTTAGGTTTCAACACATTAAAAAAAAATGAAAAAACTTTCCTTTGATGTTCAATTTTTTCAGTTTTTCCCATAGATTAACTAAAATCATGCCCCCCCCCCCTCGAAAGTTTTGACCTTTGTTGTGTTTTAGATCTGGAAGAAGAATACCCCGTTCCTTTATGACCTTGTGATGACCCATGCTCTTGAATGGCCTAGTCTCACGGCGCAGTGGTTGCCTGATGTCACACGACCAGAGGGAAAAGTAAGATTGTTTATTATTTATCAATCATAAGTCTTTGATTGGATGAATACCAATTCCTCAATTTTTTGTTGCTATGTGATAAGGAAACTTGACGATATAAATATACAAGCAAAGTATTTGATAGGATAATCGAACAATTTATAAAACAGCAAGTTAAAGCCAATTTTGATTTTGGTCTTTGTCGCATAGTGTTTAGCACTGATTGAAACAAATATCAAATTAAACTTTGGTTTGTTGGTGGATGAAAACTTTTTAATTGTCATTTATTCATATTATTTTTCCGGGTTACGTGTTTTAAGTGTTCTGTACTGTACCAACCATAGGACTGATTTTAGTATTTTTTAAGGATTACTCTGTTCACCGATTGATCCTCGGGACGCACACATCTGACGAGCAGAACCATCTTCTAATTGGTTCCGTACAGCTACCTAACGAGGACGCACAATTCGACTCCTCCCACTACGACAACGAGAAGGGAGAGTTCGGAGGGTTTGGTTCCGTCAGCGGTAAGATCGAGATTGAGATCAAGATCAACCATGAGGGAGAGGTGAACCGTGCCAGGTATATGCCCCAGAACCCCTGCGTTATTGCGACGAAAACCCCGTCAAGTGACGTGCTTGTTTTCGACTACACGAAGCACGCCAGCAAACCTGATCCCAGCGGAAAGTGTCAACCCGACCTCAAGCTCCGAGGACACCAGAAGGAAGGATATGGATTATCCTGGAACCCGAACCTGAACGGACATCTTCTCTCCGCTAGTGACGATCATACGATCTGTCTCTGGGATATCAACGCAACGCCACAGGTTCTTTATTCCTTTTTGCATTTGGTGTGTATTTGTGTGTGTGGTGGGGGTGGGGGGTCATGTTGGAATGCAGGAACTAAACCTAATCTAAATTTTAAATTAATATAGATCATTATTAGAATATATAAGACAGTCTGGGGGTTCCACCTTGGGTTCCCCCTTGGTTTCCCTTTCAGATTGATGATTGATTGATTGACAAGAACTTTTAAGACTCCCAAGAAATTAAAAGGCCCAACATTCAATGGTTGGGAAAGATCATTTAGCGATAACGCATTTAAATATAAACTTTTATATCTGCATAATGACCGATAAAAATAAGAATTCCAATGCACATGAAACGCAACATATTGACAGTGATCCATTTTTCTTAAAAAAGATCATTTTCAAGCTACTTTCAAACAAAAAACTTCTGCTGTCCTGTCAAGCTTTAAATAGAAAAAAATGTCTTCAATATCGTCTTCATTTTCTAGAGTTTTATGGGTTCCGTTTAATTCATATTTGTAACTTGAGGAAATGTTCTAGGAGAACAAGATAATCAACGCCAAGACCATCTTCACTGGACACACTGCTGTAGTTGAGGATGTTGCCTGGCATCTGCTTCATGAATCTCTATTTGGAAGTGTAGGAGACGACCACAAGCTGATGATCTGGGATACAAGGAGTGCTGTATCCAACAAACCCAGCCATACTGTTGACGCTCACCAGGCTGAGGTAACACACTTTCTCATCCCTCTTTATCAGTGTTGAAGTGAAAATTGGAGTGTTGAGACATCTTTTGGTAAAATCGGTATATTTTTGAGAATTACCTTAGAACACTTAGACAGTAGACAGTAACGTGTACTCTAACTTCTAAACCCTATTTCTTTTCAAACTGACAGCAGAGTAAAGGACTACGACATCAGTTTGAATATAAATAGAGACTAAAAGATTGTTAAGTTTCTTTAATTTTCAATTGTCAATATAATTGCAACCGGGTTAAATCCTTATTACACTTTTTTTTGTTATGGGAACTGAACTCTAATTTTCTAATCCCCCTTTCTTTGCCACCCTTCGATATTCAGGGTGTCCCAATAAGCATGAGAATTATGTGACTACTTTAATCGTCTTTGACTTCCATCTTTATAACAAAACAAGACATTTATATATAAATATGTTGTCTATAGCCGGCCAAACGGCTGGACCGATTGGGCTAAAAAAAAATTAAAACCTTTTTTGTTTTATTTTTTTTTCACGGGCAACGCCGGGCCCTGCAGCTAGTAGTTAATAAAGAGTTTATCATTGATATTACATAATGCTTTATTCTCTTTTCTAAATTTCGTTCTTCCTTGTATTTTTAGAATTGACCGAAAATATTATACATTTGAACACAGTTAATTGGATTCTTGACAAATTTTGATAGCTTAAACAATTTTAAAGATAACGAGATGTAAAAATGGTGTACTGAGAAGATTTTTATGTATTTATTTTATCTGTGGTCCTTCAAAATTGTGTTTTTTAAGTAATGCCATGGCAACTTAAAGAAGACCAAGCACAATAACCAAATTTTAAGACGTCAGTTTGAACATTAGAAAATTAGAGAACATACAACCTCCCCCCCCCCCTCATAACACTTGAAATCATAACATTTAGGTGAACTGCTTGAGTTTCAACCCCTACAGTGAGTTTATCCTTGCTACTGGAAGTGCAGACAAGACTGTTGCACTCTGGGATTTAAGGTATATTTACAGCAAACCTAATAATCACAGTTTCATTTCCTGTTCGTATAATCAACCAGATTTGATTTTGCAAGAGAGAGCTTAAAATGTTTTTAAAATAAAAATTATTGGTAAAGTTTAGTTCTCATTTTGGGACTTGAAAGTATGTTTTTAAGAGGAATTCCCCCCCTTTTAAATTTTTTTTTTAAAGTTTCTTATTTTTATTTAAACATATAAAACTCTTCTATTAAAATTGTTCAGGAACCTAAAGCTGAAACTTCACAGTTTTGAATCACACAAAGACGAGATCTTCCAAGTTCAGTGGTCTCCCCATAACGAAACCATCCTCGCTTCAAGGTAGGGTTAAAAAGGATCCGATCAGGAACATTTTGGGTTCCTGGATACGGATCCAAGGGGCAATATTTCGGGTTCCTGGATACGAATCCAATGGGCAATATTTCGGGTTCCTGGATACGGATCCAAGGGGCAATATTTCTGATTCCTGGATACGAATCCAAGGGGCAATATTTCGGGATCCTGGATACGAATCCAAGGGGCAATATTTCGGGATCCTGGATACGAATCCAAGGGGCAATATTTCGGGTTTCTGGATACGGATCCAAGGGGCAATATTTCGGGTTCCTGGATACGAATCCAAGGGGCAATATTTCGGGATCCTGGATACGAATCCAAGGGGCAATATTTCGGGTTCATGGGTACGGATCCAAGGGGCATTACTTCGGGTGGATGAATACCAATTCCTCAATTTTTTGTTGCNGGTTCCTGGATTCAGATCCAAGGGGCAATATTTCGGGTTCCTTGATACGAATCCAAGGGGCAATATTTCGGGTTCCTGGATACGAATCCAAGGTGCAATATTTCGGGTTCCTGGGTACGGATCCAAGGGGCAATACTTCGGGTTCTTGGATACGGATCCAAGGGGCAATATTTCCGGTTCCTGGATACGAATCCAAGGGGCAATATTTCGGGATCCTGGATACGAATCCAAGGGGCAATATTTCGGGTTCCTGGATACGGATCCAAGGGGCAATATTTCATCCATAACCTCCGTACTCAACTGAGCACAAATCTCACCTGTTAATAAATAAGAAATAATGGATAACTTCCTTTATAATATGCAGTGGTTAAATGCAATCGTTAAAAAAAGTCAACAATACCCAGACATTCTATAATTTGATCTGAAATTCTTGTTAATCTTTCTAGAAAGAAAAAATGTTCTATTTGTGATTTTATGGTGATCTCTAAAAAATGTCCGTCCACTTCTCAATAATGTTTGCCCACTTCTCAATCATGTACGTCCACTTCTCAATCATGTACGTCCACTTCTCAATCATGTACGTCCACTTCTCAATCATGTGCGTCCACTTCTCAATCATGTGCGCCCACTTCTCCATCATGTGCGCCCACTTCTTAATCATGTGCGTGTCCACTTCTCAATCATGTGCGCCCACTTCTCAATCATATGCGCCCACTTCTCAATCATGTGCGTCCACTTCTCAATCATGTGCGTCCACTTCTTAAAAATGTGCGTCCACTTGTAAACTTATTGACACTCTGGACGGGGTTATAATTGTTTTTATTTCTAGTGGAACCGACCGGAGGCTGCATGTTTGGGATCTATCCAAGATAGGAGAGGAGCAGACTGCTGAGGATGCAGAGGACGGTCCTCCAGAACTTCTCTTCATCCATGGAGGACACACAGCTAAGATCTCAGGTTGGAATTTTTTCCCTTTCAAGTAAAAGATTTGCGAAGATTCTGGAATCTTGAAAGTTTCTATACTTTTTCTCCCCAAAAAATAAATCTTTCATGATGCATATTTAAACCTAAAAGATAGTTTTCCAGAACCTAATTTTTTTCTTTGTAGAATTTATGTTCAATATATTGAAACTAAAATTAAATTTGATTTAAATAAACCAAAGAACATTTGATGATATATGAATTGAAAAATAACTGGTTTATCCCAGTTTTCTTCTAGAACCGGAATTGAAGATACTAAAACAATAATTGCCAATTTTATTGATATCTATTAATGATATTTCCGTTTGCTCAAAATCTATGAAATATCAACTTAAAATTGATTTTTTGCCGATAGCATTGTACGATGAAAATCCAGAGAAAAATTATCCAAAGAACATTCGATAAGTTTCGTAAAAATTTTGTTTAAAATTTTGTTTGATTAATCTTAGATTTCTCCTGGAACCCCAACGATCCTTGGGTGATATGCAGCGTTAGCGAGGACAACATTATGCAGGTAGATAACAATCATGCTGTAGTTGTAACCATTGCTCCATAGTTGCGTATATCGGCACGGATATTAGTTGTGAAGTTAGTTATAACTGTTTCATTGATCCGCGTACTTCCTGAAGCCTACTCAAGTATTACATCACCTTGGCCTATTTGATTGTTGGCAGATTTGCATGTTATAGCATTCAACGTAATGACCTCCAACAACGACTGTAATTTAATACCACCTGTAGGACTGTCAGAATAACGATCATCATCATTCATCACAGCACAATAAATAATCTTGATAGGAAGCTATAAAATGGAATGAATTATAACCTCATTTATTCTTAACGTTGGCCGCTAGGAAATATATATTCATTTTTAATACATTTATGTTAAGCAAATTGCGGGAAATATATATATATATATTATATCTTGAAATATTTAGGTTTGGCAGATTGCGGAGAATATATATCATATCTTGGATAGATTTAGGTTTGGCAGATGGTGGAGAATATATATTTTATCTTGGATATATTCAGGTTTTACAGAATGCGGAGAATATATATTATATCATGATCTATTTAGGTTTGGCAGATGGCGGAGAATATATACAATGACGAGGAGCCTGATACACCCGCTGCTGATAATTTTCCCATTACTCTCACACTTAATATTATAAAATCCCCCGTATTCAAGGCATTGTTTTTGCTCTCAAAAATAAAGTCTCTTTACATTAATTAAATAACATGTTATAAAGCTATTTTGGGAAAATTCTGAAAAATCTCCCATTCCGCCTTGTAAAAACTTGATTTTGTTGCCCAGATTAAGCTTGCCTGCATCTCCGATCATTCTACAACTTCTCTCCTGGATTATTTTTATATTTGTAATCGTATTCATTATCCCGAGAAAATATGAGGCCCGTAAACAATATTATTTTTATTTCTTTCGACTTGAGCATCGGGAAAACACGCTTCTCTTACTTATTTTGTGAATGGTTTATTCAGTATTAGTGGAACCTTTAATTATAATAATTTCAGATTTGTGTAAACCCTGGTATCCCGGCCCTGTAGGGGTTACAAGGATACAGCAATATGGGAGGATTCACGAGTAAGCACTGGGAGGAGATGACGGAGATGGAGGCTGCACAGCAGGGTATTAAAAAGGAGGTATGACCCCCCCCCCCTCATTTATATATTTATATAAAGGTGTTCTTAGATACATATCAAGAGACCATGGACCATTAGAACCTACTTATTTTCTAAATTCATTCTCCAATGTGTGACGTAAAATCGTAACTCTACATTTGCCTTGTTAATACTTTCAGTTACTAAGTTTATGATAAAAAATTAGCATAAAAGACCGAATATTTAGCAAAAATCATTTTTTAGCTATATCCGAGACTGAATTTAATGAATTTGAGCCAGGTCACTAAACTATCTAACGTCGATTGAAATACTTACTGTAGTTTTGATCGGAGGTTTTATGGACAAATCTTGAATCACCGATTCAAGACACGTGGTTGAACCGTCTCTAGACCTGGTTCAAATTCATTAAGTTCGGTCCCCAGATTTATTTTCCAAATACATGAGATGGATCCTGGAGGATGACCTGCATCAAAATGAAAAGTGATATTATTTGATTTACCGATTATAATGTTAAGGAGAACAAGGAGAGGCTTAGTTTCCGTGATAAATTGCGAACCCGTATCCTCAGATCAGATCCTAGATCCTGTTCAGATGGTTTAGATAGAACTCCCATAGCTGTAGATAGACCAGGAGCAGAGTGTGAAACCCCAGTTCAGGTAGGATTGATTGATTTGTTATGTAGTTAGTTGATTTGTTATATAATTGATATGTTAAATAGTTGATTGATTTGTTATATAATTGATTTATTTGTTATATAATTGATATGTTATATAGTTGATTTGTTAATTGATTGATTTTTATATAGTTGATTGATTTGTTATAAAGTTTATTGATTTGTTATATAATTAGATAAGATAAAGTTTATTGCTAAAATAAATGTATCTGTATACAGATAGTTTACAATCACAAAATTGATGATTATATTAACAGTACAAGCATAAAGCAATTAGGTGGAAAATAGCTCTTGGCTGTTTTGATTATTTTTTCCACCTAATGTTAGTAATAATAACAAAATATTTCAATTAAATAGATTTAAATGATTGATTTGTTATATAATTGATTGATTTGTTATATAGTTGATTGATTTGTTATATAGTTGATTGATTTGTTATATAATTGATTGATTTGTTATATAGTTGATTGGTTTGTTATATAATTGATTGATTTGTTATATAGTTGATTGATTTGTTATATAATTGATTGATTTGTTATATAGTTGATTGGTTTGTTACATAATTGATCTGTTATATAATTGATTGATTTATTATATAATCAATTGATTTGTTATATAGTTGATTGGTTTGTTATATAATTGATTGATTTGTTATATAGTTGATTGGTTTGTTATATAATTGATTGATTTGTTATAAAATTGATTGGTTTGTTATATAGTTGATTGGTTTGTTATATAATTGATTGATTTGTTATATAATTGATTGATTTGTTATATAAATAGACCCTAGTAGACCCTAGATCTCCTGGTGGTGGAGTGGATAGGACTCATATAGTTTAGTAAATAGTTTCCTATATCTAGGTGAAGACAGTATCCCTATTAGACCCTAGATCTCCTGGTGGTGGAGTAGATAGGACTCCTATAGTTTAGTAAATAGTTTCCTATATCTAGATGAAGACAGTATCCCTAGTAGACCCTAGATCTCCAGGTGGTGGAGTGGATAGGACTCCTATAGTTGTAGAAGATGAAGGGGTCAGGAGACGGGTTCTAATGCAACAAGAATGTGATACTCCAATCAGGTAAATATTAAACCATCACTTTATTGTATCTCTTTTATAACTTGTAAAGATAGGTTCTACAAGAAGTGGACAAAAATTACATTTTTTTCTCTCTAACAAACAGCAACATCAAAAACACTAGTCGTACCGACATACATGTAAATTGTACAAGCTATAAGGCGTTGTTTCATTCTTGGTCTAGTAAAGTCACTACTAGTTTGAAACGTGGATAGTAGGACCCCCTTTAAAGCCTATTTTAATAATTTTTTGAAATCCCTGGATTAAAACTAACATCTTTCTCTTTAATACCAATTTATTAAAACATCTACTTGGGGGGGGGGGGGATGATTAAGCTGCCAAAATTCCAGAAGAAAATTTAAGCATTTTTGAAGTGTTTTCCTTATACTTATACATATAATTCTGCTAAAAAATAGCATTATACATATAATAATAATAATAAAAAAATAGCATAACATGTCTTGAAATATTTCTTTTTTAACCAACCATATTTTAGAGGACAGATACCTCCAGCAATAACAATCCCTGGATCTGATAGGACAATTGATCCATTGATCATTGATTCCGGAGAGTATGATCCTAGATCACCCAGCAATCTTCAACCTAGAACACCGATCACCTCGACTCCTGCACTAGATCTCATCACTAAACAAAGGTAGAATTATTTTTATTTTTATTTTTATTTTTACTTTATACTTGAGAAGTAATTCTCCATCTTCAAAATAGGAATGTTTAGAATATCTTGATTTCTTCATGCTATTTATCAGATGTAGATTCAGTTTTTCTCAAATCAGCAGCCACTCCATTCTCAATGGTTCTTATCATACAGTTGATAAAACTGAATTGTATTTTTTGCATGTTTAACATCATAGGGTAAAGTATTTCATAGGACAATAACTCTGTGTGAGAAAAAATTCTTTCTAATCTCCAGTTTATTTTATTCAGAGAACGGTGCTTTTTAAACGTCCATAATTACCCCCTCATCCCCAGAGTTGAGCAAGGGCGGGGGGAATTTTAGAACATAATTATCCTTTAGCATTAATGTGAGCAAGAACAAACCAGGATGGAGAACTTGTTCAAACTTTTAACTGTTGTGAATCGGAATATGTCACTTTAAATAGAGGGTCATAGTCCCTTTAACGAAAACATATTTTGTGGAAAGATTAAAATGTTTGTTTTGTGATAATGTAAAATTTTTCTGTTTTAGTTCTAACTACGATACTCCGCCCACCGTGGACTTGTCGGATTTGAAGGTGGAGACAGAGAGACGAGTTGATAAAGGACAACCCAGTCATATTCTACAGAATAAGTTTAAATCTGCGCTCTCTACTCTTCCATACTCGGATCCTTCTACCCCAGAAGCTGCAGGTACTTACCGACTTGATACTTGAAGAGCAGTGCGTAGGATCCGGATCCGCATCAAAATTAAATGGATCCTAAGCACTGTTGGAGAGTTTATTTTTCATTTTCCATCTAGGAATGTTGAGAATATCTTGATTTCTTCATATGTGGCCTCCTATAGATCTGAATCGAATTCTTTGCATGTTTTACATCATGGGGGGGGGAGAAAATATTATTTGAGTAATATACTCTATTCTCAATCTCTGTGCTGTACACTCTTTAGTGTACACTGTGTACGCTACAGTGTACACTGTCTAAAATAGTTTTCCGATCAGGGAAGAAATCAAATACCCTCGGGAGGGGAGGGGAAAGATTTTTGCGGTTATTATTTGGATTCTTTTTTAATCAAAGCAAGTTGTAATTTTTTTTAATTATTATTAAATTCTGTTTTAATTAATTCAGTTTCTCAATTTTTTTTGTGTTTATTAATTGGATCACATTTTAATCAATGAAAACTACTCAATTCATTATTTATTGTGATTATTATTGGACTCTGTTTTAATAAATGCAAGTTCCACTATTCTATATTTTCAGGAGACCTGGATAGTTCGGATCTGAGCTTAAAGAGCAGCAATGATAGTTCTCTTGTCATCTAAACCCTATGATTCCTCAAACTATTCTTGCCAAGAGAGTTATTTGTTGATCAGTTTCATTTCCCAAGAGATCAGGAGCTCACGGTTGCTTATATTCATGTTCTAAGGAGTCGAAAAAAAGTTGTTAAAAATTTATCATATCCCAGTTTAAAAGAATAAGTAAGAATTTAAAAAGTTTAACACTGAACCTGAAGCAAGCAGTATTTGTAATGGACCCGCTTGGGATCAAGTGAAATATATTTACCCCTGTTTTTTATATAAGGCGAAGGCTCCGATTTAAAATATGAATATTTTTTTTGGAGAGTATATTTACCCCTGAATGCCCTAAGAATCCCCACTCCCTAGCACCCACCACCCACCACCGGTCATTCCAATCACCCGTCGTCCGCGTAAATATTTATGATATATATATATAAATAGTGTTTTTTAAGATCATAACTCAGTTTACAATGTCTTAATATCATGGAAGGTTCAGAGATAAACGTTACAAATATATCAAGGGATACAGTCATTACAAATGTTCAAAATAAGTCAAGAAGTTCAGTTATCGAATGTGGATTTAAAATACCGTATACAGATAAAGTTCGTCATCTTGACACTGAAAAATCAAAAAAACGACCCAATGTTTTGGTTACTGAAAGCGTAAAAAAACGTCCCAATGTTTTGGTTGATGAAAACGTAAAAAAACGTCCCAATGAAACTGAATCATTCTATCACCGGAGTATTAAAACCGGATTTTTCGATTTACATAGGTAAATATTTTAATTTTATATAATTATAAATAATATAAATCATCCAAACGCCATATAATACTTTATAACGATATCATGTATACATAAGTGTATATCTTTGCAACATGATTCTATATAACTTATATATATATATATAAGAAGATCTTGTTCGTGTAGATATTTCAATTTAACAAATCTAAAAAAAAATTAAATTGATATATCTACACGAACCTGATCCTGACAAGAGAAGAAATCACATCTTACTACAGAAAACATGGAGCTCTAAAATGTACTATAGCAGTCAAAGTAGCTTTTACTCGAGAGGATGATTCATCAGTTTATGTATATTTTTGGTAAGAAATTAATAATTTATGTTGTATCCTAGACTGTTCTTGATAAGAGTGAACAGTCCCATGAATACAAGCGGATGCCAGAGCAGTCAGTACAGCCCGAACCTTAGAAGAGTAGACACATAACCATACACGTCAGTCTGCCACTATCATTCCGGGACTTGTACGACATACAGCGAGAACCCACTTGAACGAGCTACCCGGAAGAAGATGAATTTAGTACCCAACAGACCTTGCTCCTCTAGTCAGTGGGAATGCTCCCATTGTCACTGCCCCAGCTTCAGAGAATGGAGAAGCAGCTGAGGACATAGTAGAGAACAAGGATGATGGTGATGTACTGGAGGATATATTGGAGATACTGCAAAACGTCCTAAATAACTTGGAGGATCTTCATTAGGAGGTTACAGACCTCCGACGCCCCACTCCTGGGGGCGCAGGCTCCTAACAGCCCCCTGTAGTCCCTCGTATTAATGTATGAGACACAGGGAGGGCTTGGGAGTTAGAGTACAACCTGTACCTGAACTCAAGTAGAGATGAGATCAGTACTAGGTTGTCCAACCAGGTGGTAGATCTGCTCCGGATCATGCAGGAGCAGGTCAGCCAGCAAACCTGGAATGAAAGAGATAGAGAGCTGATTGATGGGCTGAATAATATATCAGTCATGCACACAAGACTTGGTAAATTAACCAAGAAAGTGCTCAAAGATCAAGCTAAGAAACCTAATATATAAAGGGATCATGGCTGGTCGTTAAACCATCTAATAGTCTCTATATTGTGATTATGTATACATTTATGAATATATGTAAATAAATGTGATCAGTATACAAAAATAAATATCCAACAACATTTTGGATCGGTTAATATTACAGAAAACTGGTATCTTGCAGATATTATGAACTTCATTAAAGATACTAAAGAAAACCTTCCTACAGAACTTTCTAAAATCGTTTTGAATAAAGACTTTATCTGGAATGAACAAACATCAGAAATAGGTGTATTAAGATTACAACCAAAAGTTTTAAAGTTAAAAGCAATTAACTATCAAAATATTAAAAATTTAACTTCACGAGGGATTAAGAGCTCCATGAAAGGTCCGATTAAGATAATTAAAAAAATTCTTGATAAAATTTTCAATCACTTACTTTTTTATATTGAGGAAACTTTTCAATCCCAATTTGGAATGCTTTCACCATCAGTAACAGGTGTAAATGAAGCCATGGAAAGGATTAAAAATTCAAAAACAGGACTATGGGGTAGATCAATTGAATTAGAAGGGGATTTCAGTGACCTCTATTCAAACTGTAATAAAAATTTGTTAACTGAATGTGTGGAAAAAGCATGCCGTTACACTAAATTACATGAGTCAACTTGTTAGTACATGAAACTTCTTATTGATAACATAATGACACACTCATATTTTAAGGAACCAACAGGTTTATTTAAAACTTTAAAAGGCTTTTGTAGTATTCTCGCACTACTAAACTTATGCAATAAATTAGCAACTCAAATTGGCACTTTGATTAGATTTTACTTCAAGTTATTTTACTTGTTTATCTATCATCTGTGCAACCTGATGACATTGCAGATCAGGTTATTCCTATCACTCGGGCCTAACCCTCATGCGCCGTCTATATCTTTGCAACCTGGCATTACTATAGTAGAAACCAGAGGAAGAGGGAGAGGAGGGAACAACTTGCGGCCAGCAGAGTAGCGAATCCAGTTAGGAATTCAACTCCTGTCCAGCCCCCTGCTGCAGCAGGGGTAGGAAGCCCCAAGCCCATGGTAGCTCAACCTACAGGACCGGTAGCAGCTGAAGCGGGGCTCAGCTCAAACACTCACCCTGGAACTGAGCATGGTAAAGTGGAAAGTGAATCCGTAGCAAACCACTCAGGTTATCACACTGGTGATTATTCCCGGCTCAGGGCTAACCAGCTGGCCCTTCGAAACCAAAATAACTTGTCAGCTGAGATGATGCTGAACAATGTGAAGAAGTTGGTTAATTATGTATACAGCTTCACTAAAGTGTTGGCGTCTCCTGACCCTGGAGCTGATTTCGAGGTCGTCAAAATGTGGCGCTACACAAATAATGGCGCGCAAGTTATTGCCGGAGGCAATATGTTGAACGTCGTCATTGAGATCTTATTCTTTTTCAAAGCTTTTGGAAATCCGGTAGAGGGTGACAAGTTCATTTCCCCCGCGCTGGATTGTATAAAGTTGCACCATAGTCTGGTGAGAGGCAAATTTCTCAGAGCTGGGTAGAAGATAAGATCGTTCAACTCCCTCCAGAGACGATTATTGCCAAGCTAGAAGCTGTAACTTAGTCAGAAACTTGGGCAATTCTGAGGAAATTTCTAAACGTCCTGGATAACGGTGGGCAGCTGACAGCCAGGTTGCCCCAGAGCGTATTTCAGCCATGTTACAGGTTTATTGGTAACAGTGGTGAACCCCGTTCACTCTGTGATGTCTTTAACCTGTGGATGTTGACGCGGTATAATAGAGCGTTAAACACCCTAGTCATGTACGTCCAGCGCCCTCACACGCCTTTGCTGGGCGTAAATCAGATCAATGCCCTTTTAAAAGGGACTGGAATATCACTAAACAGGTTCACCGGCTTTGCTCAAGCTGAGAGCAGAGTTGCACGGGGAAAGAATGATGATAGTAACTTTCCTTCCCCTACTGATCTTTTGAACTTGTGAAGACTACCATTGCCAGCACAAAACCAGGCAGAGGAAATCCAGCGATTGATTTCGCCGTTACTTGAGAAAATTGATCACTTAATTAATGTGCAGATCCAAACATCCCAGCAAATCAATGGGAGACTGTTAAGCGGCAAGAGGTAGTGAAATTATTCTTAGGATTAAAATGTTCGCAAATTTAGCAAGGAAAAATTTATTAAAAAATATTCTAAGATTTTTGCGGTTTAGAGACGACGTGTCCATACACATTACTGGATCTGATCTAGAGTTGTTTCAAGCCATGCAAATTATTGGATCAGGGTATCCCCCATGCATAATTTTTAATATAGAATCAAAAGTAATCCATGGAAAATTTCTAAATATAAGAATTTATAATAACCTGGCAACTCAAACACCCTACACAACTGTGCTCAGGAAAGGCCAAAATATATATAATATAATACCACCAAACTCAAATACACATCCTCGGTTCAAACAAATGGCAGGACTAGGTTATTTTAGAACTTTCAGAACTCATTGCAGTACTCAGAAAGAAATAAAAATCAACAAAAAAAGAAAATGGAGAAATTTAAAACAAGAAACAACAAAGAAGTTAAAAGGTTCTTATCTAAAACTACATATAACAGTATTTCAAGAAGACATGAATACATATTAAAAACATTCAAAGCATTCGAAATAGATCCACAGAAGTACTATCAGCCCATGGAAGTTTCCGGACAAAAACTAGAACAAATGATATTTACAGTAAAACAAATGCGTCAAAAACTAAACTTCTAAATAAATACACCAAGGAAACAATCAAAGGATTCATTGGAGTAACTTGAATTACGGGTAATTTTAATTATTTGAATTGGTGGGAGTGGTTGACATGGATCCTTTCTTTTAAATACTTAAATTTTGTTAGCAAAATAAAACCCTGCATGGGTCTAGTGCCAAGGGGCACTGGACCCATGCTTAAAAAAGGGTCCAGTGCCCCTTTGAGGAAGCACATTTTTTAGATTTAAATTTTAAGTTACAAATAAAACCTAAACTATTTCAGGGGATTCCGTTTCGTCCACTCTGACCCTCTTCAATCTTTACTACTTTGTAAATTATACAGGATACATTGCTAATTTTGACTGTTTTAACTAAGACTATGTAATTTTAAATTATTAATTTTATATTTACTTGAATAATCTAACCAAAGTTCCATTCCTATAATTATTTAAATAACTCCAATCAAAGTACGAGCCTCTTTAAAACCTAGGATGATCATTTTAGGAAAGTTTGTTAAACGGGACAATTCAAAAATTTATCATCTAACGAGTTTGGAATTTTGAGTTTCGATAAACCAGTTGTGGGCCATGATAAGCTGGGAGCTGCCGACCATAGCAGTGTTGATCAGGATGCACGGTTCGAGCCAATCCTATCCATCTTCGGGACTGAGTCCTACTGACTATATACTTTTAGTTATAGTATTATTAAAAAATTAATCTAATGAGAGCATATTTATTACTTTGGGTGTTAAATGCTGCATAGACAAGTAATTGTATAAAGGTTTGACCCATGTGATGGTGATAACCCGAAGTATAATGTTGTCAGGTTGCAAAGATAAGTAATTGTATAAAGGTTTGATCCGTATGATGGAGATAACCCGAAGTATGATGTTATCTCCTTATTGAGTTCCGCCAAACTAACAATGATGTCCCGGAGAATCTGTGGAACATCTTCCATCTCCTCATCCTCATCATTATTCTCTACAACATCCTCAGCTACATCTTCATCCTCCGAGGCTGGGACAGTGACAATGAGAGTGTCCCCACTGATAAGAGGAGTAAGGTCAGCTGGATCAACTTCATCTTCATCCAGCTCAACATCTGCAACCTAGGCGGGGTTGTGTACTATGACAGGAACTTGGTTCATCTTCTATGTAGCTCGTCCAGTTAGGTTCCCTCTGTATGCTGTATGTTCGCTGTATGTTGTACAAGTCCCGGAACGATAGTGGCAGACAGACGTGTATGTTACATGTCTACTCTTCTAAGGTTCGGGCTGTACTGATCTTCTGGCATCCGATTGTATTCAAGGGACTGTTCACTCTTATTAAGAACAATCTAGGATACAACAGTTTCAAATCTTCTTATTTCATTGATTGGTGTTGGATATGATAATCCAGATGTATTTAAATCATCAATGAATGGAGTATACGCACTCGCACGACTTCCACGACCCCTCTTGATATCTGTAGCTCTTGTAGATGCTAAGATGGAGTAGATGATACACTTTTCATCCTTAAGATTTTTAACGTTGATGATGGCACGTTTTCCTGCTAGTTTTGAAGGTGTTGGAATCCAAGAGCTACCACGTATAGGTTGATAGTTGTATAATTCCATGCTGAATGAGGGAATGAAGGCAAAAAAATTGGGGAGGAGGGGGAGATCTGTCCTCCGCCGTTTGCCTGCCGGGTAGTCCGCTGTGTCCGCCCCCTCCGCCGTTCTTCTGCGCATGTGCATAAAAAAATCCAAAAAACAGTAGACCTGTCTTGGAGCATTCAGGGGTAAATATACTCTCCAAAAAAATATTCATATTTTACATCGGAGCCTTCACCATATATAAAAAACAGGGGTAAATATATTTCACTTGATCCCACGCGGGTCCATTACAACTACTGCTAGCTAAGCATAAATTATCGTTTAAATGACAATTTATGTCATAATGTATTCAGAAGTACGAGAAACTTCATTTTTTGAGCTAATGATGAAAATGTTATGCTTTTTACGTATAAAATACGCTTATATGGGAATTCTTGGTTTTCCCTCTTTTGTATGGGTTAGAATTGATATATTTGAATGAAAAGTGTGATTCATATTATTTTACAGTATAGATGGTGTGTTATAATGCACATTGTAGAAATATATATTTTTTAGTAAAACAAAACTAATTTTATATTTATGTCTGGGGTGTAAAAACTTAAGTTTCTGTTGAAAAAAAAACTATTTTGCAGACTGAAGATGGGAGATGAGCAGCCAGCTGCTCTTCCTGACGCGAAATCTAGAAATGTAAGCATTAAAGAGATTGTTCAGAATTTTCTAAGTGAAGTTTACTTGGAGAACATTTGAACTTGTTCAGGTTAGGTAGGTGGTTAACCAGGGTACCTGGAGTATATTTAAACCTGTTCAGGTTAGGTAGGTGGTTAACCAGGGTACCTAGAGTATATTTAAACCTGTTCAGGTTAGGTAGGTGGTTAACCAGGGTACCTGGAGTATATTTAAACCTGTTCAGGTTAGGTAGGTGGTTAACCAGGGTACCTACCCCTCTCCTTTTTTTCCAAAACTCCCCCCTCTTATTTTTTTCCATAACTTATTTTTTCTAAAACTTCCCTCTCTTCTTGTTTCTAAACTATGTTTGTCTCTAGTCGGATGGACAGCTCCCTCACCTTGTTAATATTCAGTTTAAGAGAAAGACAACAATACAGGTATTTTTATTTACTATTTTTTATCACTGTAATTCTTTTTATCAATCGAATAATTTCTGGATAAGATTGGACTTTTTGTCTAAAAAATGGGGCACTTTAAATATGTCGTTGCCCAGGAAATTCAGTTACTCTCGCTGTTTACCCGCACTTGGTCGTAAATTACGATTTACGCTATTTTTCCCAATAAATCTACTCAACGTAGAATCTCAAACATTCATGTGGCTCTCCCGAGTCCCCCCCATCAAAGTATTAGGCAAATCGGTCCAAGAGGTCCTGAGTCATGATCGGACAAACAAACAAACAGAGATTACAACTTTATACTAAAGATTTACCGCTGCTATTAATACAATTATATTTATTGAGACCCAGGTCAAGTATGAAATGGCTTTTCACAAATCTTTGCCAACTTTCAATAATGAGATATCCCCTAAAAAATTGAAATTGTTAATTTGATTTTTTGGAAGCTAATCCTGGATTTTTTGTATATTTCAAATTCCAAAGTCTCAAATATAAAGGATAAAGAGGGTGTTGATCATTATAGCACTTGTTACAAAATTACGCTGATAGTTACACAACTTGTCTAGGATGTAGCACTGTACACAGATTTCAAGTTGGATGAAAGCTACACCCCGACTAGAATCTCAGTCAGGGTGGGAACTAATTTCAACGATCTACAAGAAATAGAGGTAAAATATTAACAACGAGGATTTTTTAGTTTTCGAATTTCAAAAATGAAAAATGTCGAAATTTTTTTCTAGGTAAACTTTGTCATATTAAACCATCCTTTAGACCTTATTTGGGGTCATGTGAGTTGCCACAAAAAACGTGGTTAGGTCAAGGTTAGATATATATTGATATAGTCGTGTGCAGTTCCTCTTTTTCAGATGGAGGGTCAGGGCACATTTAATGAGAATAAACCAAATCTAGTTATGGTCTATGTTTCTTTCATTCAAGTCCCACCACTAAAAAACAGCCAATTGATGAATGATAAATCTCATAAGTTCTTTTAAATAATATTAAAACATATCACATATACCGAGGAAAATAGGATGGATGGGGGAATGTATTTCTGATGTTAGAAACATATAATGTTTCTTATTTTAGGTGATAGATATATCTGAACCGAACGGGTGGATAATAATACCTTTAAAGGATATGAATGACAAGCTGGTTAGAACCTTTATGCTGCAGATAGCAGTTCTACAAAATCATCAACAGGTAGAACCATACAGCTCTGGAATAGGAACACATACTTTTAGACAAGTTTTGACTTAGAATATTCCAATGAAGATTATACACATCAAAGGTGCAGTGTAAACCGACCCATTTCACTTCCTTCATGAGTTAATGAGTTAATAGTATAACTGTTTGCCTTGTAACAACATCAAATACACCTTATTGCTAATGTCGTCTTCATAATCCAGGATTTTTTGACTTATGTAAAGTGTGATGTGAAACTAATAGAAACTTAAAGAGACTGAAAGGGTAATTTAAAGTGACTCCCCATGCAAATCTAGCAATGCCCATTGCTCAATGAACAACGGTATCCTTGACACTTTAATCTGATTAAAATTTGAAAATAACGTCGTTTTTCTTGCTCGAAAAGTGTGAATTATGTTAATTTCTCCATTTTATCTTCACAAATGAAAATAAGCTGTTTTCAAAATTATAAACATCGATATCTAATTGAAAAGATGAAGCTCCTCTCCTAGCCCCTTGATAAAGACACCAATTATTTATATTTTTACCTAATAATATATTTATTATGTAGGGTCGAGATACACATATGCGGCAGATAAAGATCCATTCTCCTGTCCAGAACCAACCCGTCTCATCAGCTGACTTCGCAACCTTCGCAAACCCAGACTTTAAACAGTTCCAGAGTATCAGATGATCTAATTTATCCAGTTTTTTAGATTTATTGACGACAAATTTTGAGGTTATTTTGTGACTATTTTCAGAAAATAATTCACGATGCCTTCTCCCGTCAAGAAACCAAGAACTATGGAAGATACCCTCCAGGTTAGGCCTTTCTTAAATTTTCTAAAATATATATATTTTAAAATTTCATTATGATTTAGTAATTTCACTTCGAAATAGCTGGTCCTTAAAAGTCTGATTTAAGGTCAAAACTTACGTTATATGATCCTCGGGATCAAACAATTATCCGTGTGTCGTCCGTCCGAAGTATTAATATTTCTCTCGCATATCCTGTGGCCGAGAGTCAACTAAATTAATAGATTGAAAAAGTTGGCACAGTGGATATCAAGATCAAGCGTTCACTGTGCTCTAAATCGACCCCAAGAGGTCGACCTTGTGTGACTTAAAAACTTCTTTGCCATCACTTCTGTGAAGGTTTTGGGGGCCAAAATCCGGTTTTACATAAATCTGAACACACATGGGGAACCCAAAAAAGGCCCCCAAAAATGGTCCAAATTTTTAAATGGCCGAAATCGTGTTAAAAATTGTTGAATAAAAAGTCTACTTCGATGAACCCCCAAAACTTTCTTTTTGGTCATCAAGATATCAAAAGAGTTATTGACGAATATAAATATCTAGTCCGTAATCTGAAAATTTATTTTAGCAAAACGTGAATTAGTGGAAAATAGATAGTTTTAACGTCAAAATATGAAATAAATAACCTTTAAAAAAAATATAATTGAGTAAAATTAGTAATAGACGATTGCAAGTAGAAATGAAAGATAAACAACGCTAAGGAAAGAAATGACGAGGAAAATTAAGAAGAAAATTACGGTGGAATCTGATATTTTAGAGTTAGTTGTTAAGAAAAGATAAATATATAATAATACCAAGGGAATCCAGGACAACAACAATAAAAAGTGAAAGTGAGGATTACAATTTAAAAACAAGAAGGAAAACATTTTTGAAAATACGCACCTGACCATGAAAAAAAAAATATTACTGCCTTTTCACCAACATTACCGACTTATGATTCCCCAACAGAGGGAGTTAAGGTTACTTAACGTCCCTGGGGACAGTTATGTAAAATAACCACCTGCTGTGTAGAGTTTTCGGGGGAAAAATTCGCACATTTTCATCCCAATAGGCGATAAAATTGTGTACAACTACTTTTTCGGAAAATTAAAAATTTACTTAACCTCGGGTTCCCTTTGGTAAAGTAAAATTCCCCTAACTTCTCTGTAAAGTAGTTGTAAATAATTATAAATACTTATATCTCGACTCTAGATATTTAAAAAATGTTACTTACAAGTTCTCTCTCTAAATCTATTATCATAATTTTATACTCATCATAAATCTAAGTTCTAATTTTCTTTTATCTTTTTTTCCTTTTTACATCCATTCCTTATTTATGTCTTTCATTTTTTTCCTTTTATTTAGTTGTTTTTTTTACTCTTCTTCCTCTTTCTAACTTACACTTTCATTATAATGTTTTCCCTTTGTATGTGTATGTCTTGTTTATAATCTGCTGGTTAATCTATATTCATCCTTTCATCCTCATATTCTTATCTTTGATACATTTTTTCATACGTTTTTTTTTGCAGATAGTTTTTTCTAGAGTACAAATATTTCATTTACATAATTCTCTGTCTAACTCCTCTGTTAAAATTCTTAAAAAAAATTTTTTTTCAATTTATCTTTATTTGAAATATTTTGATTACTCCCCAATTTAATTTTTACTGTCATATTGATTATCTATATAATAAAACAAGACATTCGTATGTATATATGTTGCCTATAGCCGGCCAAACCGGCAGGACTGATGGGGCTGAAATTTTTTGTGGACACTAATAAGTGGCGGGGGGGGGGGTAGGGCGGCCCTGTAAAAATTGTTCAGAGATGCACTTTTTCTTTTGAATAGATATATATGAAACTAAGAAAAATCCAAAATATTTTTTATTTTTGACCATTTTTTCCGGTGCCGTCGGAAAAAAACGTGATTTTTTGGCCTTTTTTGAACTTGATTTTATTTCTTAAAACTTTTATAAAATCCAAAGTTTTTGACTGAGAATAATGTTTTATATCATTTTGGAAATCCCAGATAATGGTCTAAAAGATCAAACCAACTTATAATGAATATTTTGAAACTGTCGTTTACTACATTTGTGTGAACTTGCAGCAAGAAACCTCCTGAGCAGCTTAATATGGCGAAAAATCAGGGCCATTCTCAAGGAAAGGACTGATTGGAGAACAGTTATGTCTATTGAATCTATGAAAATTGTTCCTTTTTTCCCTATGCCAAACGAACAGTTCCCCAATGTACCTGATGTACTTCATACTGAAGCTCTGTACAGTACCAGAGATATTTTTATCTCATATGCAAATGGGATTATATCTGAGCTGGGAACTTTTAATTTCTGGATATTGGGATTAATGCTAGATCAACTTTTTATCTCGAGATTAAATAATGCTTGTTTTCAGGGGTGGAGACAGGATTTAAGTGAGGGGGGGGGTCAAGATTTTTTAGGAACAAAAAAAAACTAATTAGGAACAAAAAATCGTGCCGCATGTGAAATTTTTCTTTGACTTATAAGACTCAAAAAGAGTCCAAATTAATCACTAAAGACTAAAAAACTAAATTTTTAACTTTTAGGAACAAAATTACAGGATTAGAACAGGAATTTAGGAACAATTAAAAGATTGTTTAGGAATTAGGAACAAAAAAAAGGATTAGAACAGGAATTTTGGAACAATTAAAAGATTGTTTAGGAATTAGGAACAAAAATAAAGGATTAGGACAGGAATTTATGAACAATTAAAAAATTGTTCAGGAATTAGGAACAAAATTAAAGGATTAGGACAGGGATTTAGGAACCATAAAAAGATTGTTCAGGAATTAGGAACAAAAATAATGGATTAGGACAGGGATTTAGGAACAATAAAAAGATTGTCCAGGAATTAGGAACAAAATTAAAGGATTAGGACAGGGATTTAGGAACAATAAAAAGATTGTTCAGGAATTAGGAACAAAAATATAGGATTAGGACATGGATTTAAGGTGGGTCGGACACAGTATTAGGAACAGGAACAATAATAGGAACATTAGCAATTTAAGAACAAAAAGAAATTACTAGTTATACATAAATGCATGAAAATTAGGAACAATATTACAATTTTAATAAATGAGTATTGATTAAGGAACATTACTAGATATGAACAATATTATAACTTAAGTCTAGTTTCTAATTCTAAATTTATCGTTAACAATAACATTTACTTCTTGTCGTTGATTTTTAAATTAAACTGAAGAAAAGAAAGTCAAGATTTCCATAAAATAAAAAATCAAATAGCTTGAAATTGAAAAACACATACGATTTATCAAATTGGGAACGTTTTTTGCCTCGAAATCTCAGGGAGGGGCTACGCCCCTCACTGAATCTGTCAGGGGGGGGCGAATGTCCCCCCACCCCTGTATCCGCCCCTGCTTGTTCTCCTCTTGTTATTAATCTCCAGATTAATTAACTAATCGGGATTAAGGATATCCCATTCAAAAGTTTTCAGCCCATAAAAATATTTCTACTGACTTAGAAAAGAATAAACCTGGCCCACATTCTAAACCAGTTCTCCAGACTGTTAGAATATATGCAGCAACAACAAATCCTCCTCATTGTCTGATATGTATAGTCCATCACAGAGAGATGAAACAGCAGTTTCAAATCCAAATTTTGTCTGTTTTATTGTGTTCCAGGTCCATTTTGATTGTTGTGCACTTCCAAAAATTAAATGCTTTCAAAAATTAAATATTTTTGAATGACAATCAAGAAAACCGTGCAATGCTGAGATGAATAAAATGTAATATAATTTTTTGTTCCATTTATCATGTTTAGCTTAAAGCTTGATATTTAAGCTCTTTAAATTGTGTCCAACCTTAATCTTACGGGGACTGTAAAGGAAAAATAAAAGGGGGTATAGGCTGAAAGCAAAAATGCAAAATAATTTGATATTTGATTGTGCCCAACCTTGACCTGCAGAAGTTAAGAATTGACGATTCTACAAGGATTTCAATACATGTCATTGAAGTGGAGGAAAATCACTTTTCTTCAATGGCATATCACTTCAAAATATTTATAGATTTCTTAAGTTGTCTAAATCATTAAGCATAGAATATATCAAATAGAAAGTAAAAATCTTAAATGTTTTAATATTTGTCAGCGAGTGTTTTAACAAGGATTGTATATAGTAAAAAACCAGATTATTTTTTGACTAAACTTACATGAAAATAAAATAGTTTTCAACAATTTTTAAAACAAATTTTAATACTAAGTCTTATAAAGTAGTATCTGGGGTTTCCAAAATGATATTAAACAACATTCCCAAGTCAAAAACTATGTATTTTATAAACATTTTAAATGAACAAGTTCAAAATGTCCAAACACGTCAATAATTTAAAAGAGAGAGTTACAATTTTCAAAAACTCAAAAAAAGGAGTTTTTTGAACTGTTCATTAATCGACCATTTTTGAAGGTATTTCAAAAAGTAATGACATTTTAGATTAAGTATAAAATATAGAAAATGAAAATAAAAATTAATTTTTTTTGTTCAGTTCTCAGGTTATGTTAGTGAGCTGCAAGTGCGCATCAATAAAATCAATGATTTTGGGGCTAAAACTGCTTATAAAACTATCATTTTTCAAAATATTCAGTATAAGCTGGTTTTAACTTTTAGACCATTTTCTGGGATTTCCAAAATGATATAAAACACTATTCTCAGTCAAAAACTTTGGATTTTATAAAAGTTTTAAGAAATAAAATCAATAAAGTACAAAAATGGCCAAAAAATCACGTTTTTTCCGACGGCACCGGAAAAAAAGGTCAAAAATAAAAAATATTTTGGATTTTTCTTAGTTTCATATATATCTATTCAAAAGAAAAAGTGCACCTCTGAACAATTTTTACAGGGCCGCCCTATTGGGGGGGGGGGGGTGTTATGGTTTTTTAAAAAATCAAAAAAAATTGTTCTTTTTTTCACGGGCAACGCCGGGCGCTTCAGCTAGTTATTAATAATTCCCCCGATGATGTTTTATTTTCTCTATTCTATATTTTGATAATCATATAAATCATTCAAAATCGGCGATAACTTGAATTTTTTTAGACTTTTTATTTTCTTATTATAAAATTGAGTTTCGATGACCCCAATTATCTTCAGCATATTTTAAGTGGTCGGAGAATTTAATAAACCGGATTTTTTTTAATTAAATCAAAAATTTGCATACTTTTGGCCATTTTTTTATTTCGAGCATTTTTGAAGTCATTTTTTGGGGCCCCCTAATGTGTTTGTGATATCGGATTCTGACCCCCTAAACTATTGAAAAAGTCACGGTAAAGAAAATTTTTAACTCATAAGGTCAACCCTTTGGGTCGATTTAGAGCACTGACTAGCGCTATTTCACACAAAAGTTTTACCTCAGATTTGAAAAAAAATTTGAAATTGTTAAGTTTTGCATCATGGTAGCTACCCTGAGTTTCTTTTTTGTTTTCTTTTGATTAACCACAAAGGATGAGAATTCTCATACGACTGTACGGAATTTAGGATGTATTCTTATTTCTTGCATTCTGACTTTTTGAAACTTTACATGTCTCGTTATCTTTACAACATCCTTAAATTGATCATGAAAACACTATTTTCAATGCAGTACCAAAATTACATGGTGCTTAGGATCCATTAAATTTTGATGCGGATCCGGTTCCTGAATCCGCACTGGAAAAAATATGGATCCGTATTCGGATCCAGGTCATTTCTTTAAGATTTACTGAAATTTTTTAACAAAAATTTTTTTAATTTTGTGTCTCATTTTTATCGGTTATTTTCATTCTAAAAGATGAACCATTTAGAAATCAGGAATTTTTGTAATCTCTCTTTTATTTGGGTTTAGAGAGTGAAAAAGTTTTTTGTTTGCAGTTTTTGGTTGATATTTTGCCCCTTGGATCTGGATCCGTGGTGTGCATATTTTTATTTTTGCGGATCCGGATCCAGGAAGCCAAAATCTTAAGGATCCAACGGATCTGGATCCGGATCCTAAGCACTGGTTAAAGGGACTGTAATTGTCATTTTAAGTGACCCTCCATGCGAAGATATTACAATGCCCGATTTACAATGGTACCCTTTAAAGCGTCGTCTGATAAAAGCATGAATTAGATATTAATTTTTGCAATTTTAATTTCAGATTATTTTCAATTGTGGTTTCTCTATGAAATTGACTTGACTAATACAGGAAAATATATGGGAATTATCAGAAACTAACACTTGTAAACTCTTCCACAATAATATCAGATAAAGGTTTCAAGCAGTGTTTCGGATCCGGATCCGTATCAGGAAACGTTGATATGGATCCGGGTAGCGCCAAAAATTAACCAAAACCATGGAATAAATAAATCAAAATGGTTCGTAAATCTATTATTTACATGACGAAAATTTTTCAAAATTATCTTTAATAATTTAATGTTTACATTTATATAATAGTAATGACGACATTTTTAACTTTAGGATTAGTATAGTTTATAAATTATAACCTTGCATAACATTTAATAGGGAAAATCCGATTCACAGAATCAAAAGTTACCTCGGATCCGGATCCGAATCAAAATGATATGGATCCGAAACACTGGTTTCAAGGATACTGTTGTGAATCTGGAATTGTCATCTTTTCACAGATGATTACTTGAAATTACGTTGACAGTCCCTTCGAAGTCTCCTCAGTTTTTAATGTTATGTGTTGAGGTGTCTAAACTGTCTGAGCATGCTATTATTCCTACACGTGGAAGCGTGCTTGCTGCAGGGTAAGTTTATATTATTTTCTTTCAATATCAGTGCTTTAGTTCCGGATTTTTTAATCAAATGAAAAGTTTTCAAGACTTTCTTTTTTCGTTTTTTAATGCTGAACCTTAGTGAACCCTCCAGAGATTGGGAAGTTTGTATAAATCTCCTCTTAGTAAACAATTTTGATTTGTAATTTTGGTTTTGGTCGATATCTTGCCCCTAGGATTCGGATCCGTGGAACTGCATATTTTCCGGATACGGATCTAGAAAGCCAAACTGTTGCGGATCCTAAGCACACTGGTGGCCTGAATTGCTTTTTGAACAAAAGATTAATCCCAAAATTTCATCACTTGACTTACTGTATCGTAGGTATGATCTGTACAGTGCTTATGACTACGTTATCCCAGCCAATGGAAAGATTCTCGCCAAAACTGATATCCAGGTAGTGATTGTTTGGGGGGAGGGGNGTTAACAATCAGAATTCCCTTAGTGTAGATTTGGTTAATGATTTACTACAAAATCCTTAAAAATGTTAGGAGATATCTTATTGTCAATCTACAAAATGAGAAATTTACCACGATTTGACAAAGTCACGATCAAGTATTCCGGGGAGGTGTATAGAATAAGCCACTCAAACAAATATTAGAGTTTCTGTTGTTAAGGTAAAAGTCCCCCACGGCACCTATGGTCGTGTAGCTCCCCGGTCTGGGCTGGCCTGGAAGAATCATATTGATATCGGAGCTGGAGTCGTGGACGAGGATTACCGCGGGAACGTCGGGGTCATCATGTTTAACCACAGCAGCACCGAGTTCGTCGTTAAAGCTGGGGATAGGGTGGCCCAGCTTGTCTGTGAGAAGATTGCTTATCCAGAAATTGAGGTGAAGAATTGAGTTATTGACTGTTTCTAATATCTTTAAAGTTAAAATAGTGAGTAAAGCTCAAAGGGACTGTAAGCGTATTTTCAAGTGATCTTTCATGCAAATAAGGCAATATGTTTTCCTGCAGTAGACATGCGCAAGGCCCTTTTGCAGAGACACAGCAATAGAAAATAATCAGTTTTTAAGATTATAAACATTGATATTTTATTCGTATTTGGTCAGACTAAGCTTTTACGGGTACGGTTGTGAATCGGGCATTGACATCTTTGCACGAAGGGTCACTTGAAATTACGCTTGCTGTCTTCTTTTTTGATCTATTGTTTTTTATTATATATTTGTAAAGTTAAAATAGAAAGCAATGCTTAACGTCGATTTAATGTACTTTTTAATCATAGTTTGTATTTATTTTTATTTAGGGATATAAATTTTCATGAACATATTTTGTATGCCTCTTGCAGATTTTGTAAGGGGTTTCATGAGGCTAAATTGTAAAAACAAAACAAACATTGTAGCATTGAATAATAAAATTAGTTTATTCAAACATGTTAGTTATCACCATTGATGAAATATTTAAGATTCCTTAAATCGACTTATTTTTAGTTTAATTATATTTAATTTTTGTTTTCAAGGTTCTGGATAGTCTTGATGATACTGTGAGGGGAGAGGGTGGTTTTGGTTCAACTGGAACAAACTAGATCAAACCAGAACCATCTTGCTGAAACAAGAAACTCCCCTTTCATCCTGGCTTTTTTTTCCGTTGGATTTTTATACGCTCATTTTCTCATAGTATAATCCAAACCACTAAATATTTAAACAAAGATCCTTTTTTCATAATTTTACATAATTTATTCTAACCTTTTCTAATTTAATCCCAGCTCTTTGTATTCCTGACTTCACATCATTAATTCCAACCTCTCCGAATTAAATCCCAGCTCTCTGTTTTCCTAACTTCACATCATTAATTCCAACCTCTCCGAATTTAATCCCAGCTCTCTGTTTTCCTAACTTCACATCATTAATTCTAATCTCTCCTAATTTAATTCCAACTCTTTGTATTCCTAACTTCACATCATTAATTTCAACCTCTCCTAATTTAATCCCAGCTTTTCTTACTTGAGCCTTCTCGGAACTTATTTTCAGTTTATACTTTAATATGAAACCCTGTGAAACTATTACGCTTTTTATAAAAATTAGAGATCTCAGAACCATGACATATTTAAAGATTTATTTACAATCAATACTTTTGTAAGGTTGGATCGATCTCTATTCTACAGTCGATACAGTTTTTAGTTTGCTGCTCATTTGGCATTTTAATATGTGGAACTTTTTACGCTTATTTTGTCATTTAAAGAATCAATAAATATATTTTACGATTTATCAGATATTTTGTATTTGTTTTTATAGAAATAATGATAGAGCTAAGACTTTCTTCATGCCATACTGTGGTCTTAGTGGGTTCTTTCATCTTTGTTCTGTAGAAGGTACTAGAGAAGAGGAAGTTCAGATGGGAAAAGTTTGTTCTGGATTATAAGGTTGAATGTATTTTTACAATGCAGGCGCAGGCCAAATTTTACTGTTTCATCCCCCTTCTGAATTTATGACCTATTAACTCTCCAACCTACTGCAATATCTGACCTATTAACTCTCCAACCTACTGCAATATCTTACCTTCGACAACTCTTCAATTTTGTATTATTTGAGAGTTGGCTTAAGACCATTTCTGGCCGAGCGTTGCGGTTTTTTTTGCGGATTTGTTTTAGGTCACGAGTGAAGTATAGCGGATGTGCGTAGGTCGAAACATGAGAATTGAGAATGTAGTGTAATTGATGCTTTTAAATAGTTTATGAGTTGCACAATATTTTATTTTGAAGATTTAAAAAAACTCAATGTCTTTGGAAAACCTATGAGACCTTAAAATAGTTTATAATCCACATAAGCTTTTTTTCTACTGTCGGAATTTATAGACTATTCATCAACAAGGGGAGGAAGGCCAGCCACAACAATTTCTAGTCCGAGCCACATTCTCATTTTTTCGTCCGAGCCACCTCGAAATCCTCGTCCTTCGAATATTAACTTTTTAACGTTTTCAATTCTCCAAGATAAAACAATTTTTTTAAGAATCGGGTCACGTTAGAGCATAAGCAAAATAAGAAATTTTTGTAAATCGAAAAAAATACTTCCAAAAGAATTAAGGTTTTTCAGTGCAATGTCCTGAAAAATATTCAACTTTTTTACGTGCATTTTCAGATATTCCTGGTGTAGAATGCCGCAAATAATTCCAAATTTATAGAACTTTTAATCTTTTAGTTAATTTTAGCGAAAACCACACAATTTTTTCGGGTGTTTCCATGGGGAAAACCACAGGCAGAGGTATGGCGAATATTTTACTATTTATTTTGTATCACGAAGGTTAGCTATTATAGAGGCAGAAGAGATGGTGACATGGAAACGCCTCAACACGGAAACGACTCAACACGGAAACGGATCAAAAATTATTTTTGAGGCATTTTACTTTGGAAAATTTAAATAATATTTATTTCTTTTTTGACAAATATTAGCATGTGAAACAAACTACTTCATCTATTTTTCACTGGCTTTTCAAATAAGTACAATTTAATTTTCTGTGTCTGAGATATTTTTGCAAATTATGTTTTCAATTATGAAGTTGAAAAACTCAAGAAGTTTGAGTGCTTTAGTATAAGCCGTTTTAAATGATGGAGAAAAAACATTAAGGGGGTGGAGAACGACCCCCTTCCTTTGTAATTGGGTTAACACTTTGTTTTTGACGTTGCTCATAAATTGATTGATTTTTCAGTTAAATTCGGAGCTTGAAGATCAAATATTAAAGGAAAAAAATCTGAAGTTTAAAAAATTCTATCAGTTTTGATACAGGGTAACTCACAAAGGATTGACGACTTAAAACTCTTCAAATTTGACGATCCCAAGATTAAGTTAAGCCTTCTGTCTTAAATTTGGTCTTTAAATGGCTTAAATAACTAATGATTTGGCAAAGAAATGAAGAATTTTATAGTTGTTGGAAACAGTGGGAACAAACATACAGCAGGAGTTCCGTACAGTCGTCTTTGAAATCTCATCCTTTGTGGATAACCCTGTATTTAAAGAGATTGCTAGAGAAGTTTGTGAAGTAATCCTGAAGTTCAAGTTAAACGATAATTTTCTATAACGGGCATTTTGTATTTTCCTAAATTTTTTATTCTTGCCCCAAAATTTGTCAAATTATAGAATTCTAACTATTCCCCTCACCCATGACCCCNGTTCTGTAAATTCCCCCTGGGAAATTGTTACGTCTCTGTACGTCTGGTAACGCAAGCCGTAAGTGCGTTTAAACTGCACATTGCGTAAAGCCGGAGGAGGGGGGGAGTGCAGAAGTCCTCAATTAGTAATCACCGCCACCCAAATGTGTTTTGCGGCGTGTGCGCTCCTCAATTGGTAATGTCCACCACCTCAATTTGTAATCAAAAATCAAAATGTTTACATTAAATCGTTTATTTCTTAGAAATAAGACCATATTGACATCTGTAAATTGCCTTATGGTGTACAATATTCTTAAAGCTTTCTTTGTTAAATCAGCTAATTTGATCTAAGATTCGGCTAAAATATATGCAATGCCTTGTTTCTCAGTTTTGTTGACCAAACCAATCTGAAAACAAATACAGATGCCATGAAACCCGTTTGGTTGGCGGTGATTGCTAATTGAGGCTTCTGCACTCCCCCCTTCACCGGAGCTTTCTTTGTTTTATATATACACATATATAATTATAGTTCTTCCTACTCAGTAGGATAACAGCAGACACAATATTTCTACATATGTTTTAATTTTAACAGTGATTCAGAAAAGATAGAAAATGACCTTCTATTCGAGGAGTGACACAAACGATTCACAGATTAGACTCTCAGCCTTTATCTATACGCACAGTGTAAAGATAGTAGAAGTTGAACGATTTTGAGCAATTTGTGATGATATCTTCGTTTTTCTGAACTGTAATTCACGAACTTTGACGGTCTGGACTTTTTTAAAAAAAAAAACAAGTTCACTTTCAAAGATACCCCTAGGACCAGAACTGTTCGATTCTTTTTGAAAAATATACTTTTATTGGTTTGGAACAATTTGTTACATACGTTTTAAATCTTAAAGGATAAAAATTGTCATTGTCAATCGTGGAAATTATGTCATTGCTTAGGATCCAATTCATTATGCTGTGGATGCGGATACAGGGCCGGTTCCTTGATCCAATTCAGCTTTTTTAATTTACCATTCAATGATTGGCAAGGTTTTAATGATATCTCGTTTGTTAACACTAATTCTTCACTCTTCAGATTTTGTTTTTTTGATTTTTTGGTCCGGATCCGGACCTAGGGAGCGAAGTTGTTGCGGATCCGGATCCTTAGCACAAACTCAAATTTTATAATGTATCTTTTCCACCTGACGGTTTAAACCTTTGATATGCCAAACTTAGCATATTTGATCAACAGAATTTAATCTATCAGAATTCCTAACTTAACATATCTAAGGTCTACGACATTGGGTTGCAAAGATATAGTGATTTGAAAGTTTAGAGTTTGTGGCAAAGACTCAATTCCTTTAATTTTATCTATAAACCTTCAAATTGTAATGTAACAGATGTTAAACATTTAAATTTTCAAAATTAAAAATATTAGATTTTCAATGTTTAAAATATTAGATTTTCAATGTTTAAAATATCAGATTTGCGATGTTTAATATCTATGTATTCAATATTCAATATTCATTATTTAAATATTCAATGTTTAATCTCTAGATATTTAATGTTAAATATCTAAATATTAAATGTGTATTATATAATTATTCCATTTTTAAAATCTAGATATTCACTTTTTAATATCTAGATATTCACTTTTTAATATCTAGATATTGATTGTTAGGTATCTATATATTTACTGTTTAATATCTAGATATTCAATGTTAAATATCTAGATATTCACTGTTAAATATCTAGATATTCACTTTTTAATATCTAGATATTCACTGTTTAATATCTAGATATTCATTGTTTAATTAGAGTTTCCAATCGCAAGACTTTTGCGAAAGAAAGCGCAAATTTTTGCTTTCTTTGCGCTTCAATTTTGCGTGAAAAGAATAGCACTTTGTGCAAACATTCGCAAACTTCATTTCGTGCAAAATTGCGCTTTTGCGTTATTCTGTTTTGCGCAATGTTGCGGAACAAATTCTCAGTAAAATGTTGAATAAATTGGTCGTGTATTTTCTGAATATGAGCTGTTAAACATACTATTTTTGTACATAATTTTACACATATATAGATTTTCGTAAAAATTTGTCACTGTTCTATATCAATTTCTCGAGACATGAACATCAGATCATGGGTCTCGATCAAATCCTAAATGCTAAGGTTTCCCTTTTTTATTTTTCCTTCACAGTCCCTTTAAGCACTAATTGAAATTCGCTGAAAAAATTAATAAAGAAACAGCTTGCCCCCCCCCCCCGAGAAAATGAAAAATTAGCTGGTTTAGAAAGGATGTGTTTTGATAAAATTATCAAATTTAGCATTATACATTGAGATAAGATAAGAGTTCAAAACCTTGAACTGTAATTTAGTTATATCAACCATTTTCTATTATAACTTACTGCAAACTAGACATATGGTGAAGGTAAATAGATTATAGTACAATAGATGGCAACATAAAATTTGTACACTCTCAGTACAGCTGTATTCTGACGTTCCAAGTGTCAACTTAGTTTTTGTATCCGACAAAATTATTAATAATAGTGATAATTTTAGATTAAAGTGCTTATCTTACAGTAAAATAAGTGCAATTCTATGTGTTCTTTGATTTCTGTTTTTACATTTTTTTATTTAATCTTGGAAAGCATGTCAACTAATGTGAAAAAATTTAGTTTTTCTTGTTATATTTGACACTTGTGACGTCCTTTATAATTGATCCATTTCTCTGTTGCCACCTATTATACTTGATAATCTATTTGGGTGAAGGTAACAGCTATGCGACATTACTGGAACTGTGTGTCATGACATTATAGCTCTTCTAGAGGTGCTTAAGCACAAGTTACATATTAGAAGTTCAAAACAATTATTGTTTTCTCATACAGCGATTCAAAAGTGGAGTTATAATTAAAAACATAAAATATTTAAATCTTGCAATTCACTTTAGTTTAATGTAAACTGGAATGCACCCTGCAAACTACACTGTATTTAAACCTGTCACCAAGTTGTAAGAATGGCCTAAAAAATTTAAACGCTCACATTTTTAAAAAACTTTTTTAACGAATTTACTTCATGTCCCAATGGTACCCTCAAAAGTGTTACCTGATCAAACATAAATTAGATCAATATCCAATTTTTGTTTTTCAAAAATGTTTTTTATTTGTGGTTTCTCTGTAAAAGTGACTTACGCATTTCTTGCTTCAGAAGCAACTGGGAAATTATCAAAATAAAACACTTATCAAGCCAGAAAATTAATCAAATTAAATTTTAAATGGAGGGTCATGTAAAATTACGACGACAGTCCCTTTAATGATGATCCCAATATATCTTTGCAACCTGTTGGTGCCAATATTTAAAATTTCTTAGTTTAATACTTTTATTAAACAGATTTCATAGTATGAAATATCTTATGACTATAATGGCGTTGGGTTACAAAGATAAAGGAATAAAGGAGTTTGTGACTTAACTCCTTCATGAATAATTTTGATTATCATTTCTCCTCTTGTCTAGTAAATAACATGTAAATTATTTAAACTCAAATCATCAAAGTATTTTCTTGTAACAGTTTACAATACTTTGTCTTTATTTTTACAGATTCTATGAATGTTACAACGCGAGATCGGAATAATATCATAATGAAGTATTTCCTTTCCTTCATTATTCTTCTATTTTCTAGGAATATATATATTCATTTAAGAAATGTATTTTCTTTTGAAAAGAAATTGTGCTTTTAAAATAAATTTAATTATTTTTTTCCAAACTGAAAAAATGTTATATGCGTCAATCATATAGATTGCGAAAACAGAAATTTACAGAAAAAAACATCAAATTTAAAAGAATGTTGAGACAATATCCTATAACCTTGACCCCTTATTAACATTAAAGAAAAATACTTGTAAAGAATATTTATTTTTATTGTTCAGTCCACATCAAATTTCAGCTAAGAAACCTCACATCATTCTCATTGTAGCAGACGATCTTGTAAGTAAACTATTATAATACTTATTTTTCTTTTTATTATCATAATTATTATCATGATGATCATCATGATGATGATCATCATCATCATCATCATCATCATCATCATCATCATCATCATCATCATCATCATCATCATCATCATCATCATCATCATCATTACTATAAAACATTATTTAAGGGTTGGAATGATGTTAGTTTCCATGGCTCGAATCAGATTCCAACACCTAATATAGGTAAAACAATGTTGTGTTTATAAAATAAAACATTTTGGCTAAACATACCTTAATTTAACTTTTAAATTTGGGGATCCTAACAAATCTAGGAGGATAAAAATAGATATCTAAATCTCCATCTAGTCTTGTGTCATTAAAAATGCGGGTTCTTCTTTGCAGAACATTTGAAGAATATGAAATATGTGAGAAGAGAAGAGTTCTGCTAGATTGAATTGTAAAAGTTTGAACAATTAAAGATTCACGCCATCAGGTTGCAAAGAGACGTTTAATCAGATTCTTTTTTTTTACAATCTTTGTGATAGGGGGCAATTAATGATGCATTTATTCATAGTGAATAATCATATTTTCTTAGACTCTTTTGACCAAATATAATGAATTGGAGAGAGGTTACTGAATTACTTACTGCCGGTTCAAACTCTTATAAATTAAATAACTTTGAATCGCAAATTCAAGATTTGAACTGGCGGTATGTAGTTCAGTATCTTAGCTCACTTTTATTATTTTGGTATCTGGATCTTAATTAACTATTATTACAGACAGTCTTGCCTATTCTGGAATTATCTTAAATAATTACTATGTGGACGCTATATGTACACCCAGCAGAAGTGCTCTTATGACTGGTCGCCACCCAATACACACAGGTCACATACTACCTATACTACCTTGTACAGAATATTTAACAGAAGTATTAATATATGTCTGTGTAACATAGTAATTACACTTTTGATGTAAAAGACTTAAGAAAAATGCATCAGAACCCCCAATTACTATGTTCCAATAAAAAGTGTACTGAAGTTTATGGAAGACGGTAAACAAACTCAAGTCTACTAGGACAGTTTTTTTTCCATTCCTTGACTATGTAGTAAAGCTTGGTTTAGCTTGTAGAGGTTTACAAATTCATATGAGAAAATGCAGTAAACTTTTCTCTGGTTGAAAACAAAATAGGGGTTATTATTTACACAACCGAACAAACTTTTGTTGCTTTTTAAGCGCTGAACCATTATATTACCTTTTATGTATGCGCTATGCATGTGAGCAATTGAGAAACATTTGAATATTTTTTTGCACTGTTGTTCCGAGGCACTTTACACAATTAATATAACTGAATCTTGAATAAATAACAGATTAATCTAAAAATTATATCTTAAGAAATGTTTTTAGATTTTAAATTAATTATGAATATTCTTGGTGCTACGACTGGAATAAAAATTATGATTATGGCTTAAATTAAAAAGTTGTTGCTAGTTAATATTCATGGAGTTGAGAAAGTTGAGTAATATGAAGGTGCGGGAAGAAACTTTCCCGCCAATATCTAAATCTTGAAAGAAACTTTGATAATATATTAATTAATTTACAATTTAATATGAAAACAAAACTTCTTAATATTAATGATTACATTCAAGTTTTGGTTTAAAGTTGATAGAAGATTTTTATTTTCATAGAATTTTTATAAAAGACAAAGGGTCAGTAAGTATTTTTAAAACTTGTTTTATCTGTTTTTTACAAAACATTGTTGCACCCTAAAAATATATATATTGCATTTTAGTATAACAATCATGCATGAATGTATTTTACAAAGTGTTTGCCTGAGTAAACTGTTTTATGAGATTTTCAGTCTATACAATCAATTTATAAATATATGCTCTATTTTCTTAGATTAGTTTTTCTTCTTTTACAAACACTTTGTAATTTGTATGCACTCGGAGAAGGTGGTTTTTGTTGTAATTACAGGATAACTAAAAAAATGGAAAACCTTCTGCAATAAAGAAAAAATAATAATTAAATGAGCATTCTTCTAGTAAATTGAAGTTCATAACACAAACATCAATTTGACAATCTTAGATTTTTAAGAGAAAAATTTGTAACTTGATATGTCAGTGTTTTTTCTGAAAGTACTGTTTTTGTGCAATCCTGATCCTGACTTCATCTTTCCCTGCCTGTTCTTTTAGAATTTCATGAAAATTGTCCAGGACAAAATCACAGTAACTTGATAGTTAGCAACAAATTTACACTTGGTCTTCAGGGCTTCAAGAGCATGTTCTGGTTGGGGCAGCACCGTATGCTTTATCCACTAAAGAGAAGCTTATCCCTGAATATTTAAACACCTTGGGGTACAACTCTCATGCTATCGGAAAATGGCATCTTGGTAGCCATAAAAGAACTGTAACCCCAACATTTAGGCACATTGTCTTATGGCTCCTTGCCACTGAACTTTCATTCACTGGTTAATTTTTTGGACTGTTATGATAAAAGTCCAAGAAAAATCATTTTGAACTTGATATTTCATCCTGCTCTTACAGCGAAAACTTTTTCTTACACATACTTGGTCTTTAGGGCTACAAGAGAATGTTCTGGTTGGGGCAGCACCGTATGCTTTATCCACTAAAGAGAAGCTTATCCCTGAATATTTAAATACCTTGGGGTACAGCTCTCATGCTGTTGGAAAATGGCATCTCGGTAGCCATAAGAGAACTGTAACCCCAACATTCAGGCACATTGTCTCATAGTTCCTTGAACCATGCTAGGCAGAATTCTTTAAGGAACTTTAAGGCCAGGCTTTTTTTTTTTTTTTGATGGCCAGTATTAATCCCACTATATCACTAGCCTTTCATTTAACAGTAAATTTATGAATAACATATATTTCTTGAAAAATCATTCATACCCCCCCCCCCCCCCCCCCCCCCCCCCTAGGAGCTCCGGGGGGGGGGGGTTGCGCTTCGCGAAAATTTCGCCCGACCCCCTTGATTTATTTCAGTATACGCCCTTGCTAGAATTCTCTAGAACTAAAGTACAAAGAGATATGAGTTCTGCACATTTTGTATTTTCATCCAATTTCTTAAAATACCTTTGTCAAAACTTTTAAAACTACCTTTTTGTTCATGTATTATTTTAATAGAAATTTCGATTTATCTAATTAATTATGGCAATTCAGATTTTCTTCCTATCGTACTTCTCGTACTTCTCAAATGTTATTGTCTGAGAGTGGACACCCTGTAAATCTGGCTTTTACTGCTTCTCTTTTCACCTTACTATTAGGGGTGTGGCTTTTTCCTGAGAACCTATTACAGAAACAACACTTTACTTGAGTTCCAAGGCACGTGTTTTGTGTATGCATTTAATGCAAATTTTTAACAATAAAAATTAAACTGTAAGATAGGTTTTTATAACAAAATGTGTACTGTTATCAGAGAACATTAAAAAATTAAAAAGCAAATTGGACAAGTAAAAGTCAAATCCCTTTTTTCTCCAAAAAAAACTTTCAGTAATTTTACTCTAAAATGTTGAATATCTTTCAATTAAAAGTAAAGTACAATTTCTTTTCTGTAAAGTGATATCGGAAAAATGTCGGATTGTGTCCATATCTGAAACCATAATGCCATGTATCCATGCATAAAATCAGGCAACATGAACTAGATCTAACCAGAGTTATTTAACATAAAATGAACCAACATTTTTTCTTTCAGGATTGTCAGATATGGTATGAGTCATATTTATTTATTTTATTATTTGAAAATCCACCAATAGAAACAGAAAAATCCGCTAAAATTTGTGTTTATTGCGGAGTAAAATGATAGGCAACAGTTAAAAGCTAACATTTTAACTAGAAAATCGGGCGCGACGAGGGAGGGAAGGCAACCACCCCCGTACAACTTCCGAACCTCCCCTAAACAGCCTTCCGGGAATGATCTTCCATTTATAATCGTCAATTTCTACTTAAACCCGGACTAATTCGATAACGGAACGGTATTCAATCTATAGTAGAAGGAGGATGAAAAGATAAATGGGTGAAGTAAAACCATTTTAATCATTAAAGAACAAAAGGATAAAATGGTATGTCATAACAGATTATTCGAGTAAATTTCTTTATTTATAAGTTAAAGGATTAAAAGCTGTAGAAAATTTCAAATATCTCAAGGAATTAAAAATCATCAAGTTCCGAATGTTGAAAGAGTTTGAAAGAATGATCGAAATGATCTCAATATTGCTTTCAAACTCGAGGTTCGGAAGCAATATAGGGATTCAGCGCAATGCCGCAAACCAAAACGAAACACAAAAACAAAATCTACAAAATTTTCGTTTTTTCAGTCCAATATTTGATTGTAAAATAAAAATATTATGCAAATGTTAAGAATACTATAGATTGACTACCGTGCTTTAATGATCGAATTAGTCCCGGTTTAAGAAGAAATTGACGATTATAAATGGAAGATTATTCCCGGAAGACTGTTTGGGGGAGGTTCGGAAGCCCTATGGGGACGTGCACTGCCGCAAATAGGTAAAATGAGGTTCGGAAGCTGTGCGGGCGAGGGGTGAGGGTGCCTTCCCTCCCTCGCGCGACGCGCCTTAAAAGCTTAGTATTGTAAAATTGACTGCAAAATTTGAAAATATTAAACATGTTAATCTATTATGAAGTATAAAATAATCGTGTTTTATCAGATCCTAAAATGAATCTTTTGACCCATTTGAAAATGTTGTAAAACAACCTAGTTAAGAATGTAGAGATATAAAAACATTAAATAGTCTATCCTTTCTACAGAATCCTTGCCGTGGACTAGGATAAGACTGCAGGATTTTCATCAGTTGACATCACAGGTCTATGGTTGGCAATTAACCATTGTGGATTCATACTATTTAAAGGGACGGTAAGCGTAATTTCAAGGGATCCTTCATGCCAAAACACAAAGCACAATTTACAACAGTGTCCTTGAAATATTTATCTAATCAGTAATGTGGAAGATATTGGCTTTTTTCTAAGTTTAAAGATATTTAATTCTGATAATTCCCGTATGTTCTCCTGCTGCAGTAGAAATGGGACCACCCAAAAAGGATGAGACTAAAAAACGACCCAAAAACTCTTTAAATATGACAATGTAAATGTCAGATTTCTTTAGTTCAGTCTTTAGATGGTTTACTCAATGATTTAGAGCAAAATAGGGGGCGAACACTGCGGCTAGGGATAATAGGGGTCAGAGCACTGCGCCTAGGGATAATAGGGGTCAGAGCACTGCGGCTAGGGATAATAAGGGTCAGAGCACTGCTGCTAGGTATAATAGCGGTCAGAGCACTGCGGCTAGAGATAATAGGTATAAGAGGACTGGGGCTAGGGATAATAGGGGTCAGAGCACTGGGGCTAGGGATAATAGGGGTCAGAGCACTGCGGCTAGAAATAATAGTGGTAGAGCACTGCGACTAGGGATAAAAGGGGTAGAGCACTGCGGCTAGGGATAATAGGTGGCAGATCACTGCGGCTAGGAATAATAGGGGTCAGAGCACTGCGGCTAGGGATAATAGGGGTCAGAGCACTGGGGCATAAAAGAAGACGGCTGACGGGCCAAGTTCAAAGGATTGGTTTCACATTTCACTACTGTAAACTTTGCCATGGACTCAATTTATTAGTTTTTGTTTGTACTAAAATAAATTTCTTACAGTTTCCCTCATCTTACATTCACCATTAACCCCCTCTTGGTAACCGATCAACAAATTGAGATTTTTAAAGTTTTTGAAAAAAGCGGAAACGGATCAAAAATATGAGGAAACGGACCAAAAATTTGAGGAAACCGATCAACAAATTGAGATTTTTAAAGTTTTCGAAAAAAGCGGAAACGGATCAAAAAACTGAGGAAACGGATCAAAAATATTGTGAATCCCCTCAAAAATATTGGGAAACAGATTAATTTTAAAGTTTTCGAAAAAAGCGGAAACGGATCAAAAAACTGAGGAAACGGATCAAAAATATTGTGAATCCCCTCAAAAATATTGGGAAATCCCTCTAAAATATTTGAATAAAATAAAGGGGAAACGGATATACAATTCTGGGAAATCGATCAAAAAAAAGAGGAAACTCCTCAAAATTTGAATTTAGAGGGATTTCCGAAAAATTTGAAGAAATCGCGGAAATGCCTCAAAAAAACCGGTTTTTGAGGGGTTTCCGCGTATTTTTGATCCGTTTCCGTGTTGAGTCGTTTCCGTGTTGAGGCGTTTCCATGTCACCGAAGAGATTTAAGTTTCACCTAAATAAAGTTTGACGTCATTCTCATGGCTTTGAAGATTCAAACATGATGCAATCATTGGAATACATCCATATTTTATGCCCTAACGTGGCCTGATTTTGAAAAGATAGCTTTATCTTCAAGATTTAGAAACTTAAAAACACATACTAAGCGAAGGACGTGGATTTCGAGGTGGCTCGGACGAGAAAATGAGTAAAATGTGACTCGGCCGAGAAATTGTTGTGGCTGGCCTTCCTCCCCTCCATCAACCCACACCCATTTTATCTCCGACTCACATATGTTAAAAGCATATTCTTTCACTAAATTGCACACCAAAAGGCGACATTTTAGTGCTTCAACTTCCAAACCTTATTTTGAGAAGACTATCGTCAGTGGATGTCTAAATTAATGCTGTAATTAGTTTACAAAAGTACAGACTTCTTGCCGGAAGGGAAAAGGTCGGAGTCTATACGGGTAAGCGCATGCCGAAAATACTATTTCGTGACTTTATATTTGTGAGTCGGAGGTAAAACGGTTGTGTGTCTCCTCTCCCCATCAGCAGAGTTTTGAATTGTTACGAATAATATCTCTAGAATTCAAGGGCGTATACAGGGGGGGTGGGCAGTGACCCCCCCCCTTGAACTTAGAGATTTCACACTTTTTAAATCTTAAACTCAAGAGTGAAGAATATAAATAAATTCAGTGCAATAAGAAGATTGTATACGGGCACCAGAGCCACCATGACAGAAGTCTGAATGAAAAATCTATTTAGAATGCACATTCATCCTAAGCAGATGGGCGCTATCAGGGATAGCGAAGTAAAACAATTATTTTTAAATGCTATGAAGGCTTGAGTTTGGGGGTAGGAAAAGACAATTTTTTTTTATTTGGATTTAATTTACTTTATTCATTGCACCCCTGTTTTGTAATCTTTCTGTTCATTACAAACTAGCTGAAGTGCCAGGCGTTGCTCGTGGAATTTTAAAAATAGAATTAAAACAAAAACTTATAATTTATTTAGCTTAGTTCATCTCCAATGGTATCCATGAGTTTCCCCACCAAAATTCAGCCCATTTGATTTAACCTTTTGGCCAGCCATACCAAACATGTACTCCTTTTTTTCAATACAGAAACTTTTACAACTCATAATTATTTTCTGGACCTTTGTCCTTTTTTTCATCTCATAGAATCTAAGTTTCAGTTGAGTTTTTCATTTTAAAAAATGTCGTTTACTATCTCTAGCTTAAATACTAGTTATTATTAACATAACATAATTAACATAATTAAAATGTCGATTTTTCAATGCTAGTTTTGTCAGAAGGAGAAGTATTGTACTTGCAAGGTAATTGGACTGTATGTGTACCTTTAAAGTATCATATACTTATACCTTATATCCAGAGAGCCAAATGTTTTGAATTCACAGTTAAAATTTTGCCCCCCCCCCCTAGGAGCTCCTGGGGTATAGATAGGACATTTCATAGATAAGACATTTCATAGAAAGGACATTTCATAGATAAGACATTTCATAGATAGGACATTTCATAGATAAGACATTTTATAGACAGAGAAGAAGAATATGAAATTTCCTATCTATGAAACGCCCTTTAGATTTTTTTTCTAAGGGAGCAGATGGTCCTTTCTGCTGTATTTTTTTGGGTGGTTTCAATTGCAGAATTGGGGAAAGTAAATGAGTTGAAAAGGGAAACACATATGAACATTATGAGCAAAAATTATCAATAAGCAAAAAAATTAGCTTATGATGTCTAATCATCATTTTCCCACTCACTCCAGGTGTGGAGTAATTCTTAAAAATATAAACCTCTGAAGAACTAAGAGACAATGTTACTGATTGTAGAGGGTTTAAAAGTCATGTTGGATACTGGACCGGACATGAAGATTACTATGATCACTCTGCACAGGAGCTTTACCCACCAGTTGTAAGCTTTTAATAATTTGCAAGAATGGATTTTGGGATAGGTTGCACCGTTATGTTATGCACTTTAACTTGTTAAAGTTAGGTTGTCAAGGATTACCTTATACTTATGGATGATTAATTAAGAAAGAAATATTTGCACAATAGAATATGGTGGTGGTCCCTATATCATAAAGAATTCAATAACCTTGAATGTCATCACAGTGGTTGCTGAACAGTTTTCTTGTTTGAATTTTCTAGTTGATAAGGCTTAATTTTAATCAAAAAAGACAAACAAATCATCAATTTACAGGGATGCAACATTACACAGTTGGGGCTCCTTACCCATGGGGACTTCCACTCAACATTAGGATATTGCCTCAATATCTTCAGGCAAACATATAAAATTAATCATCTTTAACTCAACTAAATTAGGCTTTCAAGCATTTTTTGCACTGTACTTTACCATACCATCATGAAGGGGATTTTAAGAGTTGAAGCTAACCATGAAGAATATTCCAAATGGCTTGCTAAAGCACTTCTCCCTCTAACCACAGGAAATGCCCCCCCCCCCTAAGAAAATCAAACCCCTACGTTTCCAAACTGTTTGTAAGAAAGGTAGCCCAACTTTATTTAAGACCAACCAATCATCTTTTTTTTTCATGCAATAATACTGTTTAACTCTTTAGGATCTGAATTACCAGACACATAGCATTGGCAAATGGCATCTTGGTTTTCATAAGCGTAAATATATGCCAACTGAACGTGGCTTTCTGTCCTACACAGGAACAGAGTATTTAATGCAAAACTTTGGACAGAATTAAATAAGTTTGAGCTAGGTTGCTAAACTACCCACATCCATTTCATGAATCACCTGTTCAAAGTTAAAGATTCCTGAGGATTTGAATCGGTGATTAAAGATTGTTACCAGAACATGGTAGGGTATTTTAGGAACCTCCAGTCTCCAATTCATTTAATTCTGAGTTTTGAAAAAGATTTAAATGACACAAATATGTCTCTCAGGCAAAAAATAATGTCACTGTTTGATAAATTTATTTTAGCTTAATTTAATCAAAAAAAGGAAAACTCAGTAAACGTTTGTGGGGTTACATCACTTTCAGTAAATACAACTGTATAAAGGATTCCTTGCTGGTATGGAAGATTATTATGATCATTCCTCACAAGGGCGCATGGTATGATAAAAAATAAAAATTGCACCTAGTATAATGAATGTTTGCACTTTTATTAGACTGTTTAGGGCTTTGTTGCATTGGGGGTTGGTACCAATTATCATATAGAAGATATAAAAGTTCTAGAAAAAAAATTCTAAGAACTAAAATGTTTGTAAACTTTGCTGAAGATGGACTGTTAAAGGTAAAACAGTCACTTGGGTTTTGACTTGTGTTTTATTTAATTTTTATAAGAACTTGTGAAAAAGTAACCCCATTAGATTAATAATGTCCTCCAAGAGCCTGTTAAAGTAGAAAGCAAATTCTATACTTGTCTTCAAAGAAGTTGGTACCACACCCCCTTCCAATGCCATTTAATAAATGATAAATTATGTCAGCATGATCAAAAAATCCTGCTACCTTCACTTGGACTTTACTCAAATCTAGTCTGTCTTGTTTTAGCAAGATTAGTAGTACTTTGTAGTGAGCCTAGCTTGGGCTGCGTGTGTGTAGGTTTTGAATTCCAAATAGAGGTTTGTGTAGGTATGCAAGAGTATGTGATATATGCAGATGGCCCTTGGGGTCTTCCCCTTGATACAGTCCTTCTGCCAAGCCACCTTGCCAACCTAGGATATTCTCCTCACATGATTGGAAAATGGCATCTAGGACATCATAAATCATCCTATACTCCCACCCAAAGGAATGTTATTAAGATATTAAGGAATAACTGCCTTTTTTGGAAACTCCTTAATGTCAAGTTATAGCCTGAGCTGATTTGGAAAAATCTCAGAAAACTCTTCCAACATTTAACACCATCCATATGGATTTCAAAGTCCAGTGCTTCATGTGCTAAGCATTCACATCTAAATCTTTACAAACTATACCCAACTTAGATAAATATTGAAAGATAAATAAAGTTTCCCTGTTCTTGAATGTTAGTACCTGATAGCAGGCAGAAGACAAGCATACTAAGTTATCAATTTATGCAGTTTTGAAGAATATTTTCTGAAACAACACAATTTAAGATCAATTTAATAATACATATTTGTGAAAAAGAGGATTTAGCTCTCATGTTGGATACCTACATGGAAAGCAGGATTATTATGATCATTCTGACAAAAATAAGGTGCAACCGAATTCCAATATCCATTCTTAAACAGTGCTCACCTGAATCATAATAGATTTTTGGAAATGATCAGGGGTGTATATTTTCTTTTTCTATTGATGTCCAATTTTTCATTCTTGAAAATAGAAGGCCTGGAAAAGTTTTTGAAAACGATAAAAAGAACAAAAAAGATAAAGGAGTTGAGTTTTTGCCAAAAACTCGGATTTTTTAATCCCTATATATCTCTGCAACCCCTTCTTGTAGACCTTTGACATTTCAAACTAAGAATTCTGACAGATCAAATATTCTAAGTTAAAAATATAAAAGGTTTCAGCATCTGGTTGCAAAGATAAAGTGATTAGAAAGTTGGAGTTTGGGATAAAAATGGAAACTCTTATCTTTTTGTGTCTCAAAATCTATCTCACAAGTACAATTGAGCGGAGTATAACAAAAGTTACCAAAGAAAACTGTGGTACAAAGCATGAATTTTAAAAATCAAAGTGAAACAAATCCCAATTTTCAAGGGTCTCTACATCTGTATTTGCAGGCTGGTTGGGGGTATGATTTCAGGAGAAATATGTCAATTGCTTGGGATGATTACGGAGAATATGCTACAGATATATTTACAAAAGAAGCCGTGAAGGTAAAACAAATATATATCATAGAACTTGTATCAAATATTCAAAACATTGTGTTTTTTAGGTGATTGCTAATCATGATAAAGATTCTCCATTATTCCTGTACTTGGCACATCTTGCTGTACACTCAGGTATTCCTGTACACACCAATTTAGCTGTACATTCTACAATACTATATTTTACACAGACCATCTTACATGGGGTCCCATAAATCAGTGACCATGAAACAGATCAAATATACAGGGATAAAGTTCATGTTCAAGCTTCAAGTAAAACTAGTTGCTTTATTACAACTCTAAAGTACACAAAATTTCTTAAATTTGATCTTCCTTTTCCACAGTTTTATGAGCCTCAATGTTTTTATATTATGTTAAAAGAGATATTTTCAAGGAAACACCTATGCTCCACTACAAGCTCCCGAAGATGCCATAAATAAACATTCATACATTACAGATACTAATAGGTTAGTTATGAAATCATGATAAGTAATATGCAAAATGAATATTTTATAAATCAATTGATAAATATTACAGATATTAAGAGGAATGAATATTTCAGCAATATCTTTATATAATAAAGCTCTTTGTTCATATATGTTAGTCAGCTATGCTGGCCTAATTGCTGGACCAAATCGGCTGAATTTTTTGTACAAAAGTTTTTTTTTTGTAATTCCACAAGCACTTTGGCTAATAAATCATTTAACTAATGATATTTTTTCTCAAAACCAGTCAGGGAGCTCAATACCAAAGTAAATAAATACTAAAGTGGGCCAAACTCATAGTAGGATGACGACATTTTATGTCCCAAGTATTTCATAGTAATATTGCGGGGCCCTTATAATCTGTTTGTACTGTTTGTACAGTACTCACATTAGTGTAATTTGCATAATTGTTAACCGAAGAATACAGTTTGTTTTTAATCTTTGTGAAGAAACAATCTCAAGAACTGACGAGGGTCAACACAGACTGAAATATATTTTCAATAAATGTAGAACTAACATCTACTTTTTTACTCTACAGAGGTTTGGTCCATCACCATCACTGAATTTTAAGAATGCATAATTTCTTGTGATGCAAATAAGAAAAGCTCAGTGTACAGAGAGTCAAAAGATATCAAATGAGTAAGTAACATGGTAATTTCTGTAGCTAAGAAAGAAAATTTAGTTCATATTTTGTTTCTTGAGAATTTTTTTTTCAAACCCTTAAAAAGTTTTTGTAACGACGACATTAATAGTTGTAAACTATTTCTAGTCCTTACATAAGAAATTGGGCCCCGAAAAATAATTTGAAAATTTTACCAAACCAAATTATTCCGAATCACCCAACTAGTCGTCTTTGAACTGTCTGTTCCCCTTTAGTATTTATTCACTTTGGATCAATACCATCTCCCCCACTGGACCCTTTAAAAAAGGGGTACAAGTCTAGTCCCTACAGCATTGCCTTGTGACTTTTATCTTAAATCTTTTTTCCAGGAGAACGTTCTCAGGAATGCTCTCCAAGCTGGATGATAGTGTTGGTGCTGTTGTGGAATCATTACAGGTTAAAACTACACCAACTGCCAAAAAAAATATACATATTCTTTTTTATTTAAATTTTTATTAAAAATTAATATACTTGTGACTAAGTTCTAACTTAATTTAATTTTGACCTTTTTTAAACTTTAAATGTGTAGAAGAAAGGGATGCTTCAAGACAGCATAATTGTCTTTACATCTGACAATGGTGGCCCAGCGGCAGGATTTAATGAAAATGCAGCTTCTAATTGGCCGCTTAGAGGGGTAATAGTTATTCAATATTATATATTAATGGTTGGAAAGACTTGGTGTCCCCCATCAATAGATTTCATATTCCTTGGACGATGATTTTTAAATTGAAAGTAGCTTTTAAAGTGTAGATGGATCTATTCAGTTGATTATAAAAAAAGAATATTTCAGAATCCATATAATACATGCTTTTGTATCTACCAATTTGATGTAGGACACCATGAAGTTTCCATAAAATTATGTTTTTTCCTTCTTTTTCATGAACATTATATTAATGTATATAAAAAATTGTACTATAAATAGAACATTTCTTGTGTTCAGAAAATTTTCAGTTGTGATAATTTTGAATTGGAAAGGATATTTTTGTTCAGGTTAAAGATACTTTGTGGGAGGGAGGAGTTAGAGGAGCAGCTTTAGGTAAATAAAAATTAAAGTTGTAATTTACCCTTTTCAAAAAAGGTGTTTTACATCCACCATTGTGGTACTAGATAATAGATATCGCAGAATAAATTATATTTATCACAGTAAAATTAATAGTTGTCACAGCAGACATAATAGTTGTTAAAAAAAAATATAATAGTTGTGGCAACGGTTAAAACAGAAACAGTTAAAATAACATAGTTGTCACAGCAGAAAGATCACACATCAAAATAAAAATATAGGGGTGATATAAATTTGGATTTACTTGGTGGAAAAACTGAAATATGGTAATTTTTTAAGAAAGTAGGAATCCATGTCATTTTTAAAGAAAGTCTTCTTGAGTTAGAAGATTCAGAGGGTTTAGGCGACTAAATTACATTCTATTTAATACAAAATAAAGAGAAAATAAAAATATTTTAAAAAAGGAATTTTTCCATCCTGAATTCAATTCTGTTTTTTTTCAAGTATACTATATTGAACTTTTAACTTGAGTTCTGTTTTAATCGAAAATATTTCTGTGTAAATGTTTGATATGTGAGTTGTATTTTATAGTCCCAAAGGAACCATTTCCATATTTGTTTTGGATTTAGAATATCTTGTTACAGTTATTCCATCCCAGAAAAATAAAGATAACTATTTTTATACAATTCATGTTTTATTATTATGTTTCAATGTATTTCATATCTATTATACTTTTACAAGAAAATCTGTACAAGCTGTTAATACTTTGACATTATTTTATTTTGAATACGTGCTTTTGAGGATTATTGCAAATATTTTTATTATTATATATTGTTACAATAAAGTGCAAAGTCCTCTACTAAAGACTGGACCTAGAGAAACTTGTTTTGTTGTAGTTTGGAGTCATCTACTAAAGACGACCTAGAGTATCTTATATTATTGTAGTTTGGAGTCCTCTACTAAAGACTGGACCAAGAGTATCTTAAATTATTGTAGTTTGGAGTCATCTACTAAAGAATGGACCTAGAGTATCTTATATTATTGTAGTTTGGAGTCATCTACTAAAGACTGGACCTAGAGTATCTTATATTATTGTAGTTTGGATTCCTCTACTAAAGACTGGGTCCAGATTATCTTATATTATTGTAGTTTAAAGTCTATACTAAAGACTGGACCCAGAGTATCTTATATTATTGTAGTTTGGAGTCCTCTACTAAAGACTGGACCTAGAGAATCTTGTTTTATTGTAGTTTGGAGTCCTCTACTAAAAACTGGACCTAGAGTATCTTATATTATTGTATTTTGAAGTCTATACTAAAGACTGGACCCAGATTATCTTATATTATTGTAGTTTGAAGTCTATACTAAAGACTGGACCCAGAGTATCTTATATAGGTAAAATATTATTGTAGTTTGGAGTCCTCTACTAAAGACTGGACCCAGAGTTCCTTATATTATTGTAGTTTGGAGTCCTCTACTAAAGGCTGGACCTATAGTATCTTATATTATTGTAGTTGGAAGTCTATACTAAAGACTGAACCCAGATTATTTTATATTATTGTAGTTTTGAGTCCTCTGCTAAAGGCTGGACCTAGAGTATCTTTTATTATTGCAGTTTGGAATCTTCTACTAAAGACTAGACCTAGAGTATCTTATATTATTGTTGTTTGAAGTCCTCTGCTAAAGGCTGGACTTAGAGTAATATATATTATTGTAGTTTGGAGTCCTCTACTAACGGCTGGACCTAGACTATATTATATTATTGTAGTTTGGAGTCCTCTACTAAAGACTGGACCTTAAGTATCTTATATTATTGTATTTTGAAGTCCTCTACTAAATACTGGACCTATAGTATCTTATATTATTGTAGTTTGGAGTCCTCTACTAAATACTGGACCTATAGTATCTTATATTATTGTAGTTTGGAGTCCTCTACTAAAGACTGGACCTAGAGTATCTGACCAGATGATGAATATCCAGGATTGGTTACCAACTCTCTATTCTGCTGCAGGTTTTTTTATTTTTTTGCTCTGGATTAAACCATGATTGATTTTTCTTACATTTAATTTTTCTGTGAAGACATCATGCTTTTTAACCAAGTGTTTCCTGATTCCTTTAGAGAAAAAAACCGGTTTTCCATTGCGATCTATAACTATCATATATCGGGGAAACTTTTAATATTCCAAATTCCACCTTTTATTTTTTCGATTTTTCTTAAGTGGCAACTTCCCAAGGGTATTTTCCCAAGTGGCAACGTCCCAAGTCTGTCCTAGCTGCAGCGCTAGGCCCCCTAATTCATCCTAGCCGCAGCGCTCGGCCCCCTAGACCATCCTAGCCGCAGCGCTCGGCCCCCATTGCAGACCGCGGCACCTCAGAGGGCCTAACTAATTTTTTGGGGGGAAATTACCTAACACCATTATTATATTCATTTGCAATTAAAATAAAATCACAAGAACAATGTTTTTTAATCTTAGAAATAAATTTTTCATTAAAAAACAATCTCATATCTTGTAATTAATATTTTAGGTGGAGATAGTTCCAAAATAGAAAATATTGATGGATTAGATATGTGGACTGCTATTTCAAGGTTAGCATAGATAATTAACAAAATTTTGATTTTATGCTTTTTATCTCAAAAATTCAAAGAGACATGAAGCCTTTAATATAAAGTTAGATGATTTGAGATATTAAAATTGCGTCCTTAAAAAGAGATAAACAGTGAGAACCAGAAAACTGTTCAACAACTGTTGTTTTTGTTCTTCCTGTTACTTAAGAAATGTTGCTAAGCATTTTGTGGCGTTGCAACTCTCTATAAAAATGTTGACAGAACTTTTTTAGAAATAGCTGTGTTGTAAATTAGAAAATCCCGAGCGATATTCATAAGGGAAAAAAAGTATTTCACCAAAAGTTTGTGTAATTTCATTGAATCTGAATTTCAAGATCTAATTCTCTCTTCTAGGAATCTGCCATCTCCCAGAAATCTTATGCTTCATAATATAGATGAGGATAGACATATATCAGCAGTAAGGTAACCTGCTTTATTACTTTAGTTTCAACTTTTTTCATTATTTTCTTATTCTTCACTTTTTATTATTATAAACCTATCTAACTTGACACAATGGATGAGGCTGTAAAGACGACATGTAACTCTTGTAGGTTGATTTAAATCCTACCCCAAACAACCTACCTACCTTCCTTCCTTCCTATCTACCTTCCTAACTGCCTTCCTATCTACCTTCCTAACTACCTTCCTACCTACCTAATTACCTACCTACCTACCTATCTATCTATCTATCTATCTATCTACTGCAGGGTAGGGGATTGGAAGCTAATGAAAGGAACCACCTATTCTGGAGAATGGGACTCATGGTATGGACCTAGTGGTAGAGATGGATATAATTACTCAATGCAGGATGTCAGGTACTCAAAAATACAAAAAGTTTAAAAGTTGAAGCGATTTTTCACTAACAGTCAACAAAAACTTTAAGTAAAATAAAATTATATCAAAGTAGATGAATTAGCAGATAAGAAGTGTTTCATTCTAATCTGTATATAACAGATCAAAATGCTAGCTTTCTGAAGAAAATTGTACAAAAATTGATGAATTAACAATTTTTTGATTTGATTGTTAACGTGATGCATTCACAATTTTTCCAAAATGAAACGAAAATTAATATTTTTAGAAACAGTAAGGTTTCTAAGGCTCTAGAGGGGATTGAAATGCCGTTGCATGAGGTACAATTTAATTACAGGGTGTCATATAATGAATACACTTTAATTACAGGGTGTCATATAATTAATACACTTTAATTACAGGGTGTTATATAATGAATACAATTTAATTACAGGGTGTCATATAATGAATACACTTTAATTACAGGGTGTTATATAATTAATACACTTTAATTACAGGGTGTCATATAATGAATACAATTTAATATATAATGAATACACTTTAATTACAGGGTGTTATAAAATTAATACAATTTTTATCTACAGGGTGTAATATAATTGAAACGTTTTATCTACAAGGTGTAAAACTAATAAAATATTTTATCTACAAAGTGTCAAACTATTAAACATTTTATCTACGTACAAGGTGTCAAACTATTAAATATTTTATCTACGAACAAGGTGTTATACTATTAAACAATTTATCTACAATGTGTCATGGTGTCAAACTTTTAAACATTTTATCTACGTACGTACAAGGTGTTATACTAATAAACATTTTATCTAAGTATCAAGGTGCTATATTAAACATTATATCTACAAGATGTCAAACTATTTAACATTTTATCTACAAGGTGTCAAACTATTAAACATTTCATCTACAAGGTGTCATGGTGTCATACCATTAAACATTTTATCTACAATGTGTCTTACACTACATTATTGATCAGATGATAAATACCAATTTGAATCGTACATGCCCCTTGTTAATGAAATTACAATGACATTCTCTTAGAAAGCGGCAGGAAATAATATACAGGGTGAGTCAAAAAAAAGTGTGATTTACGGTGCCTGGTGCAAAATTGTACTTTTTTTGTGCAACACTCCTGTATGGTGTTTTTTTAATATTTTTTAAAAATTTATAATTTTTTTGGTACTTCAATGGCCCAAAAAAAATCCGCGAACCTTTTCTTCTCTTAAAATCAAAAGTTCAGAAAATCAAAAATGTGTAAATAAATTGTTTCTATCGAAATCTAAAATTGAAATTAGAAAATTCGCAGTTTTCAGTTCTGGTATGATTTTTACGGAAAAATTGTTTTTCAATGGTTCTTATATTTTATACTAGAAGAAAAGAACTAGAGAATTTAAATAACTTTTCCTTAAAAATTAGACCAGAGCTAAAAATTGCGAATTTTCTTATTACAATTTTGCGAATTTTCTGTGATTCTGTAATTCAATCGTTAAAAATTTTGGATTTCGATAGAAAAAATTTTTATACACATTTTTGCTTTTCTGAACTTTTGATTTTGAGAGAGATAAAGGTGTGCGGATTTTATTTTGGGCCATTGGAGTACCAAAAAAATAAGAAATTTTCAAAAAATATTGAAAAAACACCATACAGGAAAGTTGCACAAAAATAGGTACAATTTTGCACCACCACTTTTTTTTGACTCACCCTGTAGATTAAAAAATGAATAAAATATGTCATGATGAAATTATATTGCAGGATAAAGTTTTGGAAAAGCTGAGATCTGATGCAACCGTATCCTGCACTAAACCTGCAAACTCAGAACCCTGCAAACCATTACAACAGGTTATTTTATAATGTATAAGGTAAAGCACCAGGTCCCCCTGACATTTTTTTTATTCTTATTTTTTCTCATGAATGTGCAACAGATTAGCTTTTTAAAAGGAGAAAACATGACATTGCTATTGAGGGGAAAATATGATATTTTCCCCCAAAAAAATGTTTTCCTGTGTGAACCAAAACTGAAAGATAAAAAATCCCTCCTTTTTCCTTCCCTCTTCCCCTTCCCATTTTCCATTTTCTCTTTGGGAGAAAAAAATATCATATTTTTCATTTTTCCCAAGAAAGGTTTGCTTAGTTTACTGTGTGAGTTAAAACCAGCGGATTAAAAATTTCTCTTTTTCATTTTTTTTTCCTTTTTTTTAGCAACAACGGCGCGGCAGGGTCTACATATCTTTCTGTCTATTTATTAAAATCTAATCTCTATCATTCACTTAGACATAGGATATAGACTACCGTTTTCTTTGGAATATCATTTTAGCATTTTTCTATGTGTTTCTTTTCTGAATATGTTTGATCGGAATCTAGTAAAAATTAATGATATTGATAATCAAACATTCTGTAAATATTATCTATCTATCTGCATATTAATATTTCCTGTAATTAATATTTATCTAATAATTAATAATATTATTCTTTTATTTGAAAAAGAACTACACAATAAATCAAATATTTGTATTATGTTATGTTACGACATTGTTTATTGTTGCATGCTGCATGTTGCACTCTGTACAATATACATATAATAATGAAATACCTACAAAACCTTCGCGTGCTAACACTTTTTCAAAGGGAGTGTTCGCAAAAATGAAATGGATCATGGAGTTGAAATTGAGTCCACTTAATACAAGTTTCTCTTTGCCGGTTAAACCTTGCACTGTTCTGTTTGCCGAAATTGTTTTGGGTGTGTAGGAAGGATTACTCAATTAATGCCCTTAAAGGGAGTGTTCGCGAAAAGTGAAAGGGGGTATAGGCTTACGGCAAAAAATAAGCGCTTTTGATCGCTCCTAATCTTAGTTCTATCTGTTGCGTGAGGAGAAAATTGTTAAAAACGACTCATACCGAAGAACGTAGCGTCCATACAAATTCAGAAAGTTGCAAAATTCAACTCTGATCGTAAATATTTTAATTCCAAACAAATCATTTAGATATTGCAACCTATAATCCTCGATTATTTTTCGACGCATACGTATATAGTTTATATTTCATAATATTTTTAATTTTTTATGATCTCAGAATTACTTTTGATTCCTGTTTAAAGATTTTTTTTAATGAGGACAACATTTTCATATTTTCCAGGAATGTTCGAAAATCCAGCGCCGCCAGCGAAATATTATTTTAGAATAACATAATCAAAAATATTATGAAATATAAACTATATACGGATGCGTCGAAAAATAATCGATGACTATTGGTAGTAATATCTGAATGATTTGTTTGGAATTAATTGATTATTTTACGATCCGAGTTGAATATTGCAACTTTCTGACGCTACGTTCTACGGTATGAGTAGTTTTTAACAATTTTCTCCTTATAGACCCAACAGATAGAAGTAAGATTAGTGGCGATCAAAAGCGCTTATTTTTCACCGAAAGTCTATACCCTCTTTCATTTTTCGCGAACACCTCTTTAACAGAATTCTGAATTATAGGATAAAAAATATAGTACCGACAAAACTCCTTGTCTCTGCCACACCCCCTAATGTTTTTCCCACACACTCCCTTTTTTTCAGAGAAAAATATACATTTATAAATATATTCAGGTTTGTTTGTTCAACGTTACAGCAGATCCTTGTGAGTTTGAGAACCTTGTTTTCAAATTCCCAGACATTGTTAAGGTAATGATATTTTTTATTCTAAAAAGTGCATGGATTGGTAGAATTTTGAATTGGAAAATCTTATAAAATTCTGTTTGGATTGGACTGGAGAAAAGTGACCGAGGTGCATTGACGGCAGCAAATTACTTGAAATTGCGGATTTTCTTGGATCATTACTGGAAGATTCTTTGAAAACTTTCTTTTTTAATATAAATTATTTATGTACTCTCCTCAACGTAAATACTCCCTTTTCTGGGCGTCAATAGTTTGTTTGTTGTTTATGGATGATATTTGTTTGTTTATGTTTAGACCCTGGATGAAATTTGTTTGTTTATGTATAGACCCTGGATGATATTTGTTTGTTTATGTTTAGACCCTGGATGATATTTGTTTGTTTATGTTTAGACCCTGGTTGTTTGTTTATGTTTAGACCCTGGATGATACAATTGATCTGTATAAGTCTACAGCTGTCCCACCAAGAAACAAGCCTTTAGATCCACGAGCTGATCCAAAGTAAGATAAAATAAGATAAAATTACACAGCGTTTATCCAAAGTAAGATAAAATAAAATAAAAAACAGAGCGTTTATCCAAAGTAAGATAAAATAAAATAAAAAACAGAGCGTTTATCCAAAGTAAGATAAAATTAAATAAAAAACAGAGCGTTTATCCAAAGTAAGATAAAATTAAATAAAAAACAGAGCGTTTATCCAAAGTAAGATAAAATAAAATAAAAAACAGAGCGTTTATCCAAAGTAAGCTAAAATAAAATAAAAAACAGAGCGTTTATCTAAAGTAAGATAAAATAGGATAAAAACACAGCGCTTATCCAAAGTAAGATAAAATAGGATAAAAGCACAACGTTTATCCAAAGTAAAATAAAATAAGATAAAAACACAAGAGTTAATCCAAAGTTAGATAAAATAGGATAAAACCCATGAGATAATCCAAAGTAAGATAAAATAAGATACAAAACATAAGACGCTGATCCAAAGTAAGATAAAATAAGATACAAAACATAAGACGCTGATCCAAAGTAAGATAAAATAAGATACAAAAAACACAAGAGCTACTGAAGGGAATTATCAGTTATCAGTGGAATGTGTCATGTAACAATTGTTTCCAGACTTTCAGCTTGTATAATTTAACATTAAATTATAAAAACAATCTTTTTTTTCAAATATAAAATTGTTCATTGTTAAAATTCAAAATTATCTTTTTTAAACTAAATCCTTGCCGCAAACTCAAATGTTTGCTATTCCCTTTATCTTTTCAGCCTAATGATGTAAACCTGTGATATTTTAATCTTTGATAATTTCATTTAGCAAAATCCATAGTTTGAAATATCAAAGATCTACAACTTTAGATTGCAAAGAGTTAGGAACAAGAAAAATGGAATTTGTGGCAAGGGTTAAGTTCCTTTAACCCTAAAGTTGTTAAATTTTAGATACTGGGACTATGCCTGGACCAACTGGTGTGATTATGTCGAGGAATTAAACCAAAATCAAATCAAATTTGTTTCACCCTTTTCTAGAGATGAAGAGCTAATATTCTCAAATGTTTCTGAATTTTTAAATTTTTGCGCATTTTCAAAAAAAAATTTTTTTTTAATTAAAAATTTTGGGCTAAATTTTTCATCTTTAGCGGACCTTCCCTGGCTCTATATGAGTTGCCACAAAAATGTTGGCCCTAATAGGTTCAGTCGTTTTGATGCGTGAAATGTATATTTTTCTGTATGGATCGAATAAACTGGAATTCAGTGACGACAAACAATTAATATAAAGTTTAAACTTCAACAAACCATTTCGCAACTTTTAAAATTTGAAAAGAAAACCTAAAAATCCACTAAAGTTTTAAATATTTGGTTTGGTAAAGGATGGTTGTGGAGAAGACGACATTACTGATGTGACGAATGTAGTTTGGGATCCACAGATACAAAACTTGATGAAAGATGTCGTTCTACATTAAGATCAACAAGAATGACACTGGAATATTACCTCAAGCCGCTGATATTAAAAGATAAATTGATAATTGTTTTTATACAGATGAGAAGGTTGTCCTGCCATTAGCTTTAGGGTTACCCACAAAGAATGAGACTTCAGAGACGACTGTACGTAATGTATACAGTCTGTTTCCTGATATTATTGATTCTCTGCAACTTTACACTTCTTTCTTTCTTTGTCAAATTATTAATAAACCATTTAAAGATTACAATCAATACTTGGGTGCGTACTTGGGATTGTCATATTTGAAAAGTTTCAAATCGTCTTTACTGTCTCATCCTGTGTTGGTAACTCTGTAGTTCTAAAACTATAGTTGTAATTAATAAAGAGTGGAAGAATTGTCCTTTTTATTCTTTTTTGTTAATTAAAAATGTCTCTAAGGATTTTTAATTTGTAGCTGTTATATCTCTTGAAAATGTGACCTGAATATTTATAAAGTTACATTCTACATTGCACAGGGTTACTTAGAAAGGATGATATTTCAGAGACGATATTTTAGAATATATATTCAGATTGTTTTCTTTAAGAGAGAGTACCCTTTTTTGATAACCTTTTTTTAATTCATTTACTTTTAATAGACTTTATTTATGCCAGAGGATCTTGTGTACTTTAAATGATCAAGTTTCATACCACATGTAAATTGTACAATGTACAATGTACGTACATTCAAGTCTGTACGAGATTCCGACTGAAAACAGTTCCGACTAGTTCCGTCTTCCTGCCATAAACTGCATTAAATTGTTGTAATCATAAATATCCATTTTTCCATGATATGGTTATGACTAGATACAGGGTGTCCCACGAAACATGACAGTTGGTGAATAGTTTAAAATGTCTTCTTCCATAATTTGAAAAGTTGTTTGATACTAAAGAGACTAATAACATTTTTTATAAGACAGTTATATTATAGTAAAACCAATTTCACAGTAAAATATTTATAGAGTTAAACATTTTTTTAAAGAAATAAACTGCAAAAAGTCTTTAATATCTAATACAGTATGTGGAACAAGAATTTTAAAACTTTTCACCAACTTCCATATTTCGTGGCCCGTGGGACACCCTATATACATAGAGAATAGAATATATAGAGAGGAATTAAAAGAATCTCTCGGTATGAATTTTTTCAGTCCCTTTCAGCCTGAAAGGGAGTTCAAAGTGTACAAATCATTTAAATGTTCACAAATTATATGCATAGAATACATTAATACAGTATGTTCCCTAGACTATTCATTTCAATTTCGAAATTTTTAAAGCTGTTAAATAAACTTTATAATGAATTAGGTGAATAAAAACATCATTTGATTTATAGTTATAACGGAAAATCATCTTTTGTACAGTGGAAGGCATAGAGTCTATGTGAAATGATCATTGGTCAATTTTGAAACCAGCCTATTTCATAATTTGGTTTTCTTTTAACAATAATTTTAGATTTTCTATAAAATGATATTCCAGGGCCCAACAGGTTATGTAGCATAAATATGTGAAGTACACCTGCAGTATGGAAACAGTACAACAAAATGGCCGTTTTACACTTTTTTCTAGTAAATTCCTCTCTATATATTCTATTCTCTATGCCTGTATATGATTTGATTTGCTTTTGATTTGCTAACAGATTCATATTATTAATTCCTAAGCCGCATTTCTTCTTTTGAACGCAAGGATGAAAAGGCCAACTATTCCGCTATAAAACTATAGTTTCCTACTGTTTTATGATTGGCAGAGGTCTACTTTTATCAGTTTTATCATTGTATTACATAATCTATGTTCTTGTGTATGTCATATATACAGTGTTTAGTAAGTTATTAAATCAAGTATTAAGTAAAATGGAGGTCTGTAAGTCGACTTCCTATTCCAGAGTTTTCTTGTTATCACTGTAAAATACCAAATATGACCACCATCACTGTTCATTTTGTGGAGCTTAAGAAAAGATGACATTTCATTTTAGTAGTATGACTATTGGACGGTGGGTCCGCATATGAACTACTGTCGTTTGATCTATTGATAATTTGAACAATTGATCGTTTGAACTAAATTGTTCATTATAACTACTGATGATGACGTCATTTCCTAGTTCAAACAACACATTATTTACTCATTTAACTATTTTATATTTCATGAAAAAATATAGGTTAAACAATCATCACAATTAATAGTTTAAATGATCAAAAAATATGGACATAAAAATAATTCAAATGACCAAAAAAAAACAGTTCAAATGAAGCATTTAATATTTCAAATAAGCAAAAAATAGTTTAAATGAGCAAGGAAATAGTTCATATGAGTAAAAAAATAGTTCATATGAGTAAAAAAATAGTTCATATGAGTAAAAAAATAGTTCATATGAGTAAAAAAATAGTTCAAATGAGCAGAAAAAGTCAACAATTTTTAACAAAATTAGTATACATTTAGGGTTAGGTTAGGTTAAGACACATTCTGGGCCGAACGCTGCGGCTAGGATAGGTCAGGGAGCCGAGCGCTACGGCCTCATGACCAACTTTATGCATGTCTTAAATATGAGATGCTAGAGTGTTGTGTCAACGTTTTTTTGCTCATTTAAACTTTTTTTGGCACATTTTAACTATTTTTTTTTGCTCGTTTTTTGCTCATTTGAACTATATTTTTGCTCATTTGAACTTTTTTTTTGGCTCGTTTTAACTATTTGTTTTTCTAATATTAAATATTTTATGGCATATTTTAAATGTTTTTGCTCATTTGAACTATTTTTTTTGTCAATTTCTATCCCATTCAAAAGTACCGTCCTGAGGGTTCAAAGCGGGTTGTAAATGTAATTAAATTCATATATATTGATTATTAACAACTACTTTACAGGGAAGTTAAGGGAATTTTACTNTGGGGGTGGGGTTAAGGGGGGTTTCCCCCCCTTTTTCGAAAATTTTTCAAAAACAAAAGTGCTTTTTTAAGGGTTTGAAGTCGAAAAAAAGGAAATTTTAAGTTGTTGCATGCAGATTTGGCTGTCTTCAATTCAAATCGATTTTTTGTTCTTGTGTTTTTTTAATTCATTGAATATGTGTGCGAATCTTAAAATATGAGTTATCAAATAGTTATCAAATAGTTATCAAATAAATGTTTACAATAGCCTTGAGAATTGAGAAAGATAAAAATATTTTATTATAATAAAATTTCTACAATTTCTTATTCCTGTGCTACGGATTTTTGCCATTCTTTCTTTCTTTTCATTCTGCAGGGGGTCTTTTCATTCTGCAGGGGGGCTCTCAGGTGCTATGGGAGGGCACGCGCCCGGCCGTCCCCCCCCCCTAGTTGCGCCTCTGGGACTTTGTACTACACAATTTTATCGTCTTTTGAGTTTTAAGATGAAAATGCGCAAATTTTTCCTCCGAAAACTTTGCAGTACGAGTGTTTTTTTTTTATTCAACTGTCCCAAGAGATAACGTCTCTTGGGACAGTCACTAAACCTCCCTCTGTTGGGGGAATCATTAATCGGTAATGTTGGTCAAAAGGCGGTAAAAGGAATTGAGCCTTTGCCGTAAACTCTAATGTATAATCCCTATGTCTTTGCAACCTAATAGTGTAAATCTTTCATATTTCAACCTTAGATTATTTGATCTAACAGAAATCACAGTTTGAAATATTTAAGGTCCACTACATTATGTTAGCTAAAGGGATTAGTAAATCTGAGTTTGTGACTCGATTCCTTTCCGGATTTAAATTTGTTGAGTATTTTGTATAAAAATATGAACTTATATTTCTATTCTCATCATAAAAATTTCTTTGAAAACGTCAATTTAGCTTCATGGAGGGAGGGGTGGCTGCTCTTAGGGTTTTAGAATTGCTCCCAGGGTGTTGGAGTTACTCGCAGGGTTTTAAGTAAAACATGAAAAAATCTTCTGGAAAAAAAAAACTTGGAAATAAGACAATTTATAACGATGTTGAGATGTATTACTAGCTCAAATAAAACCTTTATGGTGGAGCTAGCTGAAGAAAAAAAATTTTTATTATACATTAACATATTCAATGTATAAGCTAAAACAAAATTGTAGTCAGTTTGGCTAATCAAAACTATATGATCGCCACAGGCTACTGGGACTCAATTTTTTTTTCCTTTGCAAATATCTGAACAAAGACAGTATAAAACGGGTACCAGAGCCCTTTTCTCAATTTTCGGTTTTATAGTTCTCTTTTTAAAGTATTTTTTATAAAAGGTCGGATAAATTTTCACCCTGGGAGCAATTCCAAACCCTGAGAGCAGCCTGCACCCCTCCCTCCTTCATGACGTTATAATAATTTTTATTTGTAGTATTTGTGTTGTAAATTATTTCTATTAATAAATAATGACCAATAAATATATTCCCTTTTAAATATAAGAAGTTAGTTTAGTGTAATAATTGGGAATATTGATATACCAGAGAGGGGGGTATATTTTTTCTAAATTGCAGGGTTTGGGGGAGATAGGTCGCATCAACCTGAATAATTTTTACAAATTATTTTATCATCTTTTTCATCTCTAAATACTTTCTAAACAAGGTCTACATAAGGAATGGGGGGGAAAAATGTTTATTTATAAAATCATATAAACCCCTGTAATTATGTATATTGATATACCGGGGTTTCATGTTAGAAATGTATAACCCTAAACATGATATAGAGCGGGATAATAAAAGGGGGTGGGGACTTATAGGGGCGTAGGCAGGAATTTGTCCAAGACCAAGGGGGTTTTACCAAGTTTTTTTCTTTCCAGAGGTTTTATCACCCGTTGGGGACTGAAACCCCATAAGATACCATAGATTTTGCTAATCCAGGGGGGCTGACTCCCACTCCCTGAGTACGCCTCTGATTGGAGTATAAGGGGTCTGCGAAAGGGACTGTAAGCGTAATTTTAAATGACCCTCTAGGCACAGATGGCAGTGCCTGATTCACACAGATACCTCTGAAACCTTCATCTGATCAATAATATGGAAGATATTGTCATTTTTCTAGGCTTGAAAGTGTTTAATTCTGATAATTACAATTAGTTTCCTGCAAACTAGAAATGCGCAAGTCACTTTAGAAGCCAAAACTCAAAATAATCTGTTTTCAAGATTATAAACGTTAACATCTAATTTATACTTGATCAGACAAAGCTGTTAAGGGTACTGTTGTGGATCGGGTGATGTCATCTTGTCACTTGAAATTTCGTTTACAGTCCCTACAAGATCACATACAGTTAAACCCTAAATGAGCCTTACATCGAAAGAATTTATCAAATGTCGTCTTGGCAATTTTCCAATGGGTTTTATACTATTTTACGTAAATTTCAGTATTTACGAAAATAAATAAATAGCCATGAATATGCGGGAACAGTTTTAAAGAGTTTCATATAATCATTTAATTAAAAAACTAAATATCTGCAACATTCCGTTATCAG